AGGTTTCCCCAACAGTGTTTGGATAAAAACACATGTCCACATGTCTTTTCAGTGGAACTCTGTAAAATAAAGTGACCAACGTACATGTAATTAGCATGCCATGCAAAATGTGGTCTTACAATGGTATCATCTGGTTGTTCATTATTAGCCTGCGAGCAAGCTCTCCTATTTGGGCAAGCAAAGTGAGCCTCTTGCGGCTTCACTGCTCACTCGTGCGTTCTCGCGAGACTCACTTCACTCGCCCAAATAGGAGAGCTTGCTCGCAGGCTAGTTCATTATTACCAGGAAGCGCCACTTTGCAATTATTATTATACCCCTTTTCCAAACTTTCTAAGATAACTGTAAATGTTAAAATTTTTGGATAGCGCTATCCACCGGATAAATCACTATCAGGCCGACAAGTATTAGGGAAAGCAATTAGGCTATCCATGGGATAGAGATTTATCCAGTGGATAGCATTATCCACCTTTTGAACAACTCAGCCCAGGTATCACAGTGTCATTTGAAGGCTTGGCTATCCACCTGTAATGACTTTCAACAAAGAGCATTACTTGCTGTTTGTTTACCTGTAAATCTAGTCTCATTAAATGTTCTAATGGTCTTCAAGACATGAATAACATGCAAAAGTTCTGCCAGTGAGGTGTCACATGAATGGTAACACCTCAGTATTTCATCCACTAACACCATAGGATTTTGACAACAGATTCAAAAGTTAGGGCAACCTCGTTCCCAGGTTCTCTCTCCTGGGAACGAGGTTGAAGTAAGAGTTGACTAAACAGTCTTGCAATAACTTGGCCGACTGGGGGTGAAGAGGTTAAACTCATGTCGGATGTGAATGTGAGGCTGTTCTTGATGTTTGACAGGAACAAGTAGAGGAGATGAAAAAGAAAGAAGAGCGTATGGAGAAACAAATGAATGAAATCATGGCGGAGAATAAGAGATTAACAGAACCACTACAGAAAGCCAGAGAGGAAGTAGAAGAGCTCCGAAAACAGGTTAGAATGATTGAAGTTCATTCCAAACAATAAAATACGAACTGTTCTGAAAAATACTGACGAAGGGTCCGGTCAATTTCTTCTCAGCAGCTTCGCTCGTAGGGCAGACGATTTCACTATCCATTTTTAAGACTAAAAGAAGGAATATCTGCCTGTTTACACTGCACTAAACTCATGCTGAAAAGTACTGTTCTCGCAGAAGATGTCGATTGAATAGCTACACTTATGGATTTCATCGGTTCACCTTGTGCAACACAGTGAACTTTACTTGCCTAGTCCCTGTACGGCGTCTTTCCAGGCCCTCTCGGTCAATGCATTTCGGTGACGTATCCGAGACGAACGGCCGGGAGACTTTCTCGGACCACGTGACCCGAAACGCATTGGCCGCCCATAATAATGAGGCCTAGGGACTAGGCAAAAACTTTACCACTGTCGAATGCTGTTCAGTAATTTCATTTGACTGTTTTTTCTTTGTTTTCATTTTAAGCTTGCGAACTACGAAAAAGACAAAGCGTCACTGGCTGTAAGTACACGTTTTTGCCGCCGTTGATTTACCCAAGCGTATTTACTCACTATTTCATAGTTTTTGGTGTTACTTTGTTTTGATAAAATTTTTGTTTGGTGAATCCGTAGAGCGCCAAAGCACGGCTCAAAGTCCAGGAAGAAGAGCTTAGAAGTTTACATTGGGAACACGAGGTTCTTCAACAACGCTTCTCTCAGGTAAGAAAAGACTAACGGATCACTTATTCAGGGGCCCGAGCTGAATGAGCCCGCGTGGTTGTTATAGAGCTTTTTCACATGACGTCACGGCGGCCATATTGGTGTTCTAAAACAATTAAACGGCGGCCATGTTAGTGTTCCAAACCAGTCCTGTGGGAGTTGAACTCTTTTCTTATACAAAAACTCTCCTTTGTTCCGAGCAGTTAGCATAGATGCTGGCCACGTGAGTGAAAACGCTCTATTGGATAGCTCAGAGGGTGCCAAAAAGTCCTGCGCTCTCGCTCACTTGTATTAGAGACGCCATTTGCACGTCAAATTTAGTTGAACTGTAGCACAATCAGTTTGAGTAAAATTTCGCTAAATTCAACGCCCGGGAAAATGACTATTATAACAATATAAAGGTACAGGTGTTGAATATAAATCTGTGTTAGCAACTGGTTGTTTCGTTTTACAGTATGTGGTCACATTTATTAATGATCAGGCTGGTATTTCCTTTCCTTTGATGTTTTTAGACTCAAAACGAACGCGATGAATTGTACGGCAAGTTTGTCAAGGCCATCCATGAAGTACAACAGAAGAGCAACTTTAAGAACTTGCTGTTGGAAAAGAAACTTGCCGCTCTGGCTGATACGCTGGAAAAGAAGGTACGAGTCATCCTTAGAAACTTTCATGAAAAAAAGACGAATCTATTATTAGTGACCTTACGAAACTACGAAGGCGATGGCCAAAAAAGCAATAGGTTTAATGGGCAAAACAACACCTCTGCGCGTGCATCACGCTTTTTGGTAAATTTCTTTACCGTCCCTGCACAACTACGATGTGTAATGAGCAAGTTCTAAGTTTACTTGAGAACGTAAACGGCATGGCGATAAATTCTATTTTCTCTGTCTGATCTCAGCGGGCGCGGTCCCTTCTCTTCAGCTCAAACCTAAATTTCCTTTTTTAAGTAACAGAACAACTTGGCATAATCAAGTAAAAAAGTAAAAGGATGCGAAGTCTATTTTCAGCGACGTTTTCGTGGAGGTTGCCGTTGTCGAATAGTAACGTCCCAACTATCCGTGCAATCAAGCTTAGCTCAAGCTTCCGCTGCTCTCTCGAAGAGTCTTTTAGGAGCACAGGCTCATTCCGCGAAGAGCGGCTGATAATCGAGTGTACAGCAAGTCTTGAAGCTGAAATATTGATCCCTGATTTGAAATATTGATCCCCCAATGTTGGTTTTAACAGCTCATCCTTGAAACTGTTCAATAACTCCTCTAGGAAGCGTCTCTTTTACCGAAGTTTAATCTGCGTTTCGCAAGAAAGCCTTTAGCTTACGTGGCAGCCTTCCCCTATATTATATAAACAGGCGCAAAAGTGTTAGCGAGTCCAGAGCAAACAAAACATGAAAAGGGGTTGGGCAGTTGGCAGCAAAACAAGTTGAAATTACGGTTAACTTATTCACTTTCGGAAATAGGTCATTCAGGTGTTTCAGAGACTTGTTTCAGTCTGTGCATTTTTTGGCAATCTAGTTTCAGATTAATGGTACGTATTAGTCCAGTGCCAATACGAACGTGTGGCCCATGCCAGGTACAGAAGGGACTTAACTCTTTTTTGGATTTCTATGCATCTGACCATCTTAAAGAGCGATTTTAAAAATTTTGTGATAAATAAAAGACTCTGTATGGAAAAGTGTTCGTTGTCCAAGAGCCTCAGGATCACCGTTCTGCTTAAAAGTTACATGTACGTTGATGGTCGTCTTTTATTATTATTATTATTTTTATTATTATTATTTTTAATTCCATTACCAAATGTTTTATCTGTGTTGTTTCATGGACAGGAAGCACAGCTTAATGAAGTTCTCTCGGCATCCAATCTGGATCCTACCGCCCTTACAGTGGTCACGAGAAAACTCGAGGTAATTTCCTTATTATTACTGGCAAACTAACTGTCTTGTTTGTCGCTCTGTAACTTGTTCGAGAGGTCCATAGAGTAATGAGCAGCGAGTTAAAGAATGCGATTCGAACGAATTTTGATCAAGGCGTGGATGTCTTGGGCGGACACTCTAGAGTTCAATATCCATGTAACGGAAACTGCATATATAATAAAGCAATTAGTGGTATTTTTCTATTGACAACCTTAACGGCAACGATATATCCGAGGGTTTCTAGTCATACAGTGGAACCTCGATATAACGAAGGGCCAAGTGACTGGCAAAATATGTTTGCTATAGCAAGGTTTCGTTATACCAAGGTTCTTTCCTATATATTTGACTATTACTAGGGTAAACAAAATCTCTAGGCCATTTTACCATTTTAAAGGACACTGTCTTCTATTTTCATTATTAGAAATTGAAAAATATGTATGGTATTAGACATCAAAGACGTAACTGTTAGAAAATGACCACAGCACAAGTTTCCTTTTTCAAGAGCTGTGGATAGATAGCCTGCGTTGCAGCCGGCCCACGCACTCGTCAAAACCATACAGAAGGTTTAGAACGTCTGCGACTCAGGCAATGGATAGATTGTGGCTTGAAAACCCTTGTCCAAACGACTTCTTCAGAGTACACGAATACTTCAGGCTAAATAACACTCAATTCTTGTGTTGTTTTAGGATGTCCTGGACTCTAAGAACAGCGCTATCAAGGACTTACAGTATGAACTGGCACGCGTCTGCAAGGTAACCTATGGATTGCACGTTTTCGTTAGTTGATTCCAGCTTCTTGTAGTGGCGGATCTAGGGGAGGAGTCGGCGCCCTCCCTTATTTTTACACCAAACTGAGGCTCGAAGGGCCGAAATTTTTTTGTTTTGGAGACCGGGCGTCTCCCTTATCTCAGGGTCTGGTTTCCAACCCCCCCAGCCCCCACCCAAATCTGAATGTCTGTGGTCGGGATACTTACCATTAACATGGGAAAACGGGAAAGTCCGGTTGGAAAATCAAATGGTTTGCGCCATTCCTTTTGGGAAGATTCAGAAAATATGGGCGATATGAGGCAATGTAATTTTTCAACTCCTTTAAGTCTGTTTAGCTGATTTGGATATATACTTTGAGGGGGATCGTTCTCCAACCAAGTCGAATTTTATTATATAGTTTTATGTTGATACACAATGTTTACACCCGGGTCGTTTGTGTAAATAGTAAGCACTCAGCTGTGCTAGAGTGACCTGACCCGCAGCCCCTTTAATTGGTAGATTTTTTAATTTGTATCATTTTACAATGAACCCTGAATATTTACGTCCGCCTAAACTCTGAGAAAAATATTCATGCACCTTATGCAAAATGAGGTCTCCTTCGCTCCCTATGGTCAGGTGAAAAAAGGGTCTTTTGATAGAAGCCTTAAACTAACAAAATTTATCTTGCTACCGAAAAGCCTCATTTCCTTTCGCGCGAAGATGGTGTGGTTCATGAGACGGCAACAAAGAACAGGAATAAAACGACCAGAGTTCCCTGTCCCAATCCCAAAACCTGTTGACACACATCGCAAAAAAAAACTATTCTTTCATGTCATCCTGGTAAAAACTGATCGAACCGTGGTTAAACGAATGCCCATTTTTCCACACTATCCTTCTCCAATGTTGTTTAAGATAACACCAAAATTAGACACGCTTTTTTTTACACCAAAACAACTTTGAATAGGGGTGGGGAGATGCGTACTTTTTCTGTTTAGAGGAGATGGTAGTATGGGGCAAAAGTAAGAAGATAGATGGAATTGTCTCAATACTTCTGTCCGAGGTTGTAAAAGGTATTAAAAAAATCACTGAAATTTCTTTTCTTTTTTTTGCTTTAGGCACACAACGATCTTATCCGTACATACGAATCCAAGCTGAAGTCCTTTGGCGTCCCGACAGAGGAACTTGGATTTAAACCTTTGGAGAGCAACGTCGGCGGGCAGCAACTCGGCCGAGGACCTGCGGGTCTTGTAGCCGCGCCAACATAACGAGCGACGCATATTTTAATTGTAATTTTTTTTAAAACCTGTTTGGACGGAATTGTGATAGAGTTCTCAGAATTTGTAAATAGACTCGTGGCTTTTAGGCATTCATAACTCGCGCACATCCGTTGAAGTCGATGTTTTATCATTTTTGTAAATAATGTCAATGCAATCTCCTCAAAAGTTGTTTAAATCCTATATTGCATGTAAATTACAGATATGGTATCTTGTTTTTTTTATGTGTAAATACCGACGAAGCTTCTTAGTTTTTTCACTTCCCTGTATTGTATTACTTATTAGAACTGAAATCTGTCTCCCTGTTTGTCGACCGTGCCAAACCCATGTTTTATCTTAAACTGAAAAAAATGTCATTAAAAAAATGTTAATAACTGACGGGCAAATGACTGAATCAATCTAATTTGCTTTTTGCAATGTTTAACTAGACTTAGGCGTCAAACCGTCTCACTTTGAAGATGCACGTAAACCGTTTTGCAAAAAATCCACCTTGAAATTTAGGTGTCTCACTTTCAACTTTAATATTTTTCCATTGGGTTAGGCGCAGTTCGCGATATTTCCCTTTGTGTGAGGCTTCAATGAACTTAAAACCGCCAAATCGTGCAATAAAGTTTGCGCTGACAAGTGTAACAATGGGAGAAGCTACAAAGCCGGTTATATATTAGCCTATTCATAGGCGTTTTGCATTGTCTGCTATAAAGCCGTGCTTAACAAGCTTATGAAAACAGCTTATTTTATGATGCAATATCGTCATAATAACGCTTGCTTTGTGCATTGATGATCACGAACATAGTTCGATACCGAAAGTCCATTTTTAGAGTTCTTTAACACCTCTCCGGATACTCTGTTGTGCTCCGTTGGCACAAAAATTTTGAAAAATAAAACGGAGAAACGGCCTTGAACCAATATTGATATTTCGGATATTTGTCTGTAAAAATTATTTCGGGGTTTGAAGTAGCCTTGTAAGGCCAATACTAGAAAGCAAAGATTGAAAACAAAATACTTGCTTTACTGATTCGTGAATAAAACTGCAGTTTTAATCTGAGAACAGATTATTTTATTTAAAACAATATTATTGTTCCGCCCAATACATTTATGTATTATCACCTTTTTTCAGTTTCAGGTTCATAAACTGTCCATTTTGAGTGTTTTGTCACTTGCCAAAAATAATCGGGGAAACACCGTTTCAGGTGATGAACCTCACGATAAGTTTGATTTACATTGCGCTTAAAAAAGCAGAAGATATTACATGGCTGCGAATTTGTTCTCTCTATCGTTGCGAACCGGTAAAGTTTGTATTAAAAAGCCGTTGACAGGCTGGGTGAAAAAGTTTCGGACCGCCTTATGGTAGCTGCTGGAGAATTAAAATTGGTTTTAATTTTAATGGCCAATCCCCCTACCACTTGGCACTTCTGCATTTAAATTTCATTTTATTCAAATTTTGGGGCCAAAAGTGTATGAATTTTAAACCCTTTGAGACCATTAAATTTAAAAGTTATTAAAAAGTGCTGACTATTATAAAAGCACCTTTCAAAGAAAGCGACGCAAGGATATTATAAAAGTCTCGCCATCCACCATTTGAAACCTTTCTTTTCTCTATTCGAAATTTTGTTACTAATCTTCTGGGGCGGCTGAACTCAGACCTCACCGATCGGGACGACCGAAAATCATTTTTCGTCGTGGTAAACTTGAAACGAAACGGGTCCAAGGTAAATTCTGACAGCGGATCTGGGAGCCGAAAAATAGGGGAAGAAAGAAGGGCTAAACACTTCATGCAATGTAAACTTGTCAAACTTTTGTAAACTGGGGTTGTTTACTTTAATCTTTGAAGAACCTGAAAGCAACCATATTTATCGGCAGAGAAACTAATTTATACCATTAAAAACCGGGATTAAAAAAAGCATTAACGCCGAGCGGCCCTATTGGAGATTATAAAATAGTCTGTTTGTGAGTTTTAAGCTACTACGAAGTCGTCCGCGTTGCTCTCATAAATGCTAAAAATCATGCGGGAAGAAACCTCTTGTAGCGATGAAAAATGACAAATCAGGAGTAAGCAGATTTATTTTTGTTTTGAACTTTATGTCCGACAGTGAACTTTGCACCGTTGCGTATACGGATGCATGAGCGGCAACTCAACCGATTCCATTTCTAAATATGGAAGATTACAAAGAATAATTTTATTAAAGTGAAGAGGAAAGCGGGCCAGTCAAACGGAAAAATGCTTTGAGGGCACGTGCATAATATTTTTGCGCGTTACAGGCGGGAAAACCCTTAGACAACCGAGTTGCTTTCCGGTTGCCATTTATTGGTTGAAGAATTTCAGGGTGAATTCTGATTGGTTGCCCGTAATAGTATACACGTGAACAGGGAATGACCTTTGGCTGATCGAAGTCCATTTCAACGGAGGTCGCAAAAAAATTTTCGTGCAGAACAACAAAGCTCCTACGGTGCTCGTTCTCTTCTCCTTGCGTGTATCATATTTCTATGGATAGCGAAGAAAAAAGCTCAAGCTTTCGACTCAGAATGCTTTGCCACGTTTCCTTACCCGACAGCGTTGTCACAGAATTCAAACTTCGGGAGAAAGCGAGAGGACAAGAGCTTTTACAAGCGGTTAGTATTTTGCTTTGACTGTCTGGCTCAAAGTCCACAGTCACTTTTTTAACCCGTAGGATCTAACTTTTTGCTCCCTTTATTTACGCCACGTCTTGTTCGTATTTGCCAGGTCTGCAAAAGACTCGGAATTATTGAGCTTGACTATTTTGGACTTCAATTCTGTGGGCCAAAAAGCGAAGTTCTCTGGTTGAATACAAGAAACAGGATTCGTCGACAAATTTCCGGTGCATCGCCGTATCGTTTGCAGTTTCGCGTAAAATTCTTCGTCCAGCCACAGTATTTGCTTCAAGATTCTACAAGGTAAGATATGAAAACATCTTCTAATTAGAGAAATGAGTATTTTCCCACTGGAGATTTTTTGGCGGGCAATTGGGCAATTCATTCGGAGAATTCATAGACTGGTACTTGTTCCTGATCTGGTATCAGCTGTGCTCATAAAATGTTGCCATTTCTTTCTCGCACAGGCACCAATACTTCTTGCATTTAAAGAATGACTTGGAAGAAAAGAAGATAACCCCAGATCCAGAGAAAGCAGCGACTATATATGCTTTAATTGCTCAGGCAACCATCGGAGATCACGGCGATTCCTATTCACCTTGTGAATTTTGTCAGGCATCGGAAGTAGAAACTCAGTGGACTTCCGAGTTTCGAAGCACCGTTTCTTTAGAACATGCCAAGCTGAAGGGTATGCGATCGGCTGCAGCGAAACAGTTTTTCATCAAGGAACTGTCGCTCATGGACAACTACGGATTTGAGTATCATTTGGCGAAAAACGAGTTGGGACAATCGTTGCACATTGGTGTAGGAAGTGAGGAAATAAAGATATTCGACCACGACTTTAACTTTACGGATAGGTAAGGAAAAAACCTACTGTATTTATTTTCCAAATGAGCTGATCTTATATCTCAAGGGACTTTACAGGCTAAGAAAGAAAATACGTGTTTTGCAAAGCGAGCTTCACAGTAAATCACATGAAGAGCAATACAAAGTTTAACCTGGGAAGGTCACCTTAGTTCAAAGCTAGTGTTTCTTATGGAAAACACATTAACACTGCTTCGAATTGATTTATCCGCTTCACCAATTTAGTAGCGTTTACAGAAAGAATTTCGGCAATAATTTTGCGAATGTTACTATTTGGCTTAATTTTGATCGAAGTGAAGTCCTGATCGAGCTAAACCCCGAAGGCCCAATTTTGCTTTTAAGCTTAAATTGTTTTGCATCACAACATGGTTTCTTAACCCAAATTATTTAGCAGCCATGAATTTTTTGTGGAACGGTTCAAAATTAAAATATTTATTTTAGAGCGTGATGATTGTTTTATTATACCAGCATCGTACGTGATGTATACATATCGTGTTTATCTTTTCAACATATGTATTCAACCCGACTCCACAAAGTCTACAGATGAGCAATAAACATTCGCTTTAATTCTCGGTAGATCGGATTATGACGCTACACATTCAAAAGAATAGAGGGAGAACTGTCCAACACCCATGAGTAAATTTCACGTATTGTGTCCCGTATTTTACTTATAATATTTTCTCATATTTTTTGGGTGACCTGTAATAATATATTATTTTCGTGTTGTACGTGACAAGGTCGTTCCCTCTATTGTAATCGCATGTCAAATCAAGCTCTTGCATGATTTTTGCATTGCAAAGGCTTCGTAAGTTGGATATTGTCTGTGTCACCTTGAGGGATAATTTTATAACTTAAAAAGCTACAATAGCTCTTTAGTTTAGATCATTAAGACCACTACAGAGATAATCAATGACAGCTCTGACCTCGAACATCTCCAAGATATTTATCTTTGTTGAAAAGCTTTAGGCCTTCTTGAAGGTCTGTGACAGTTTCTCAACAAAAAGCTGCCCCTTCGACTTGCAAGTACTGCTTCTCTTGAAGAGTGCTTGACAAAAATAACAGAATCATTTGTGGTTTCAAGATTATATTAGCTACAGAGGTAAAAACATTTGCATAATTCTCATAGCTCCAAGCCAAATTTGTTAACTCAGGCCTGAAACATGAAAGATTAAATTGGTGTGAAATTTACATGACAGTCTTTGATAATCAATTTCTACTTATGACAGTGCAAATAGTGCTTTGGAGATGTAGCAGTGTCATTTCATGAGGTTCTTGAATCGTTTCTTGTTTTCAAGACTATGTGAAAATATTATTATTCTGTACTGTGTGGCTATAACAAACTACACGTGACAACAAAAAGGGCAAAGGTGTCTATTGTCTAATAATTTATGGGACCATAATTTCGTGGTTTTCCATTTTCCTTTAAGTGGTTCTCTAGCTATCCTTATGACAGTAACAGTGTGAAAATGACAAATTGGTATTAATAATGTATTGCTTATAATGCCATTTGTTATCACACAAGCTTGGCCCACGTACATCTCAATTCATCCAATACACTTTAATGCAAATGTTTGTTTTTTGTTGTAAAGCTTTGATTTTGAAAATATCCCCTTAGTAATATAGCCCTTCACAGGTGATAAACGGCCAGTCCTTTACATAGAAACTGTTCCATGTTAGACTATAATGTTTTGGAGATGCGGCGCAGTGCTGTGTCAATACTACCCTGTTGAAATGATTGGTATGTTTTTTGTGACAGATTTCCATACACTGGTCTTAAAATGGCAACACATGTGAAGAACAACCTACATCTGACGATAATAACTTCTGATGGGGAGACAATGCTCACATTCCGTCTGGTCAGTCAGGTAGCTGCTTGCGCTCTGTACAGGTCCATCACAGAGTATCATGCTTTTTACCGCTGTGAGACTGTGCGTAATGCTGTTACGAACCAGTTCACAAGAGACCTAAAAGAAACTCTTATTTCTTTCTTTGGAGATGAGGAATCTGAGAAAAAATACATCTTTGATGTTCAGAGGACTTCCAAAGAGGTTTATGATCATTGTCGGAGAGTTTTGTTTAAACGCGGGTGTGATCCTATTCAGAGAAATTCTGAAAGGGAACAACTTGAGGATAAACCCCAGAATGCTGATGTACAAGCAACTCAACTCCAGCAAAAACTGACCAGGATGGAGGATTCATTTAAGTGCAAAATCTGCATGGATGCACAGATAGACACCGTGTTCTGTCCTTGTGGTCACATGGTTTCGTGCCATGTCTGTGCAGGAAATGTCAACCTTTGTCCCATCTGCAGAGGCATGATTCAGCATGTCCAGCATGTGTTCTTTCCTGTTATGGTTGAGTAACTGCTGTTAAAGGCCAGTTGGTGTTGCTGAAGTTAGATATAAAGTCAATGAAAAGTGTGTAATGTGCAATGACCACCTTGCCACACTAAAGGACTGTTGGCTTTTATGATGTTCTGACTACATTGTAGTACTTGATGAGAAGCAACTGCGCTCCCAGGACACAAAGTGAGGTGCACGCTTTGTTGAAAGCTGAAACCTTGTGATGACTTGGTGTGAAAAGGAGTTTGCAGAGTCTCTAAACTGAGTCCGTGTTTCACCGATCTGCGTACAGCTGCTACACCTAATAGCTGTGACAATCAGTCAAGAAGTAAAAGACAGTATGTAGAGTATTTTTATCAAATAAGTAATTTGTATTAGTGCTAAAGTATAAGTGGATTTGAAAGCAAGTTACAGATGTGTAGATAGAATAAATAGATTTATTAGAGTCTTAGGAGAAACATTATTTTACAGTGCTCTGAATGGGTAGAATAGTGCTTGTTGATTTTCATTATTCAGGTACCTGTATAATTATTATAAAGAAATAGTTGTGATTTTTCAGAATGTCAGGAAGTGAAAGCAAATGGATGGAACGTCTCAGCACTTAAGTTTCCCATGTGATTTAAGTTAAATATAGAGAGTTCAAGCTTCATGTAAATGGCAAATGTCGGATTCAAGTTGAGAATTTCTCAAAATAGAAAATGAGCAGATAAAAACAGTTCAAAACAATTCTTACGGATGAAAAGTTGCATGAAACTACTAATTTATGTGTAGAAATAATGAACAGTGAATAACAAGTACGGGGAAACCTGGCCACATGGTACAAATTCACATTTGACGTGAAGCTTAACCTCTCTAATGTTCTGGGTTAGCTTTATCCTTGGTGCAATATATTGATTTTGCTTTTTCAGGGGGGTATGCAGGGCAGTAAACCATGGTAGTTTGAAACAGAGTAAAATAAAAACCAAGGTGAAATTGAACCAAAACACAATCCACATGCAAGATTGATAGACTTTTAGTGCTGGTCAGATCATGGTTTTAATATGCAGCTTTATTTCACGGTGGTGAAAAACTTGTAATTATTGTAGAAATAATGTATAGTTATGTAAATTTGTATGAAGACACTCTAACTGATGTGTTATTTTCGAAGAAAGCAGCTGGCTGGTACTTGAATAAGTCCAAAATATCGGTCCAAGGTATTTCCCAATTTTAAAGGGGTGAGGTGACAACTTGGTATTTTTTTGATTCTGTATATTTTCAGTAATTTCAGCTTTAAATTACAACTTGGTGAAAGAAATTTTTTGTCATTGGCAAAACCATCAACATGTAATAAATATGGATGATTTCTTAGTCACGCAAATTAAGTAAGACGAAGAAGAAATCTTTTTGCTCATTTATGCTCTTTTTTTTGTTTTTGTTTTCTTGTTTCCTGTATTTCTCTAGTATTTTTCTACAATTATTAGAAATATTTATTTTGATGTTTCAGTCAATTGTGTGATTAGTTAACAGATGTTGAAACTGCTTAAATTAGTGTCACCTTATCCCTTTAAATTCTAATAAAGTTGGTCAACTTTTTTGATGCCGTTTTCAGTGACAGCCAGAATGTAACTATACTGACTCCAACATTAGAAAAGCCAAGAAGATTTGCTAAACCAATGTTGGCCAACAGTGTTGTAACATTGAAGCCTGAGACTAACTGTTTTACGTTTTATTTATTTGTAAATATTTCCCAGAGTAATTAGAATTACAGAGGTCTGGATTGTGATGCAGGACCAACGCAAACCAGCTAATTTGATTAATTTCATTGAATTTTGTTCAAAGGATTTTGTAGAAGTCATGACAGAATTTTATTCTCAATAAATAAGCACTTAAGTATTTTCAGGAACAATGGTTTTCAAATCCTTGATTGTGAGGTCAGTGCCCTGTTTTTGTTTGTTTGTTTTTTAATCCAGACCGACTTAAAAGAACTTTCATAACAAACAAAGATTTTTGTACAACAATTATCAACTTCACCTTTCTCTACTCTCCTTTTTATAAACTTTTAACTCTAAGGATATTTTCAAATCCAAGTTTGTTAAGTGACATTGAACTTGAAAAGTTTTGTTCCGGTTGTAAACATGCTATGTATTGTAATAAAATACTAAGCAATTATTGAAACATAATACCGCGTGTTTATTTTTATTTATTTGTTTTAACGTTTTTCGCAGATGCCCCCCCCCCCCCGGAGGGGGTACTCCTGGGAATTCTTGGTGGGGGTATGCTGCGCGGATCTCCAAATCCTGACCCTATTTCAGACCAAACAATATTATTTTTCACACGCGTTTTGTGACCTGGGCTGTAAAATCCATACCCGTTTTCAGACCTGGCTTCTAAGAAGTTATGTCATCATTACTTGGATTAGAACGCCAACCAAAAAAATTCTTAAAATCCATTTCGGGCATGGGTGATGGGCTCCTGTTCATTTGGAATTGAAACGGCAAATAGGTTCATACACTCCTGTAGTTCCCTTGAAAACCATACCCTAATTCAAGACCAAAATAAGCAAAGTCTATACCCGTTTTCAGACCAAACCTAGACGCCGCAAAAACCCTATCCTTTTAGGTAGGCTGTGTACAGACCCTTCCCCCTCCCCGCAGTAAAAATCAAAAAATATTCATCAAAAGCTAAACATACATATCTTTTGGTACAAGTAAGTGTAAGAAATTTTAACAAGGTAAAAAGTAAGAATCAAAAAATCTAGTATATTACATAGCTAATTCATATTTAAAAACTAAAAGATTAATAAAAGAGTTTTTTAAACGCATAGTGTTTATAAAACAAGTTTCTTTCCTAAGATTGTCACTGGACATTTTAACACGAGGCATAATAGATAAAAGTAGATGTCCTTTACTTCGAAACATTTCTGAAAATTTTACGGTCTTGCCTCTCTAAGGAATCATAAGCACTTACAGGCTTACACGTATATTTCCGTTTTTTACAGCAGTCTACGAAACAACTTTCTCACTTGCAGCCGATAGCTGAAAGGTAAAATCCAACGTCTCCGTGTAAAGGCGCGCTATGCAGCCGCTTCAGTCCATATTTGATTTCACCTCGCCCACCCAGACCAATGATGTCCCAAGTCAGATACACAATCACATCGTGGCCTTTTCAGCGAACAGTAGTCAAAGGTTCTTTAACGCCCGTCTCGTTCCAACTTAGGGAGCTTAAGCAACAAGGACGGCGACGGCCACGAAAACGTCATTGAAAAAGTACAGTCGCTCTGCTTCAGACTGTTTCGCGCTTAGTCCAACGGTTCAGTTCCTCAAATGTTGGCAACTTTTTCTGGAGCTGAATTCTAAAAGACTGTATCAAAGTTCAGGAAAGGAAATAGAACTCGTTGTCTTGTGTTCCCGTCCTCGACAAAACGTGAAATGAGGCACTTTCAAGTTGTAGTCGTGCAACGACGGCTAAGAAATGTACAAAAAAGCATGATGCACGTGCAAAGCTGTTGTTTTGTCAATCTAAACCCATTGCTTTTTTTGCCGTTCTCGTTGCCGTCGCTGTCGTTGCTTAAGCTCCCCGATGTGGACGACGGCTTAACGTCTCCGCCTTATGACGTAATCATCTGAACTGTTTGTGAAAAAAAATTAAGGGGGTACATACCTATGCTCCTGTATATGAGGATACTGCTGTTTAAGGGTAATTCTGTGCTGAAGTCATTCCTTAGTGCCTTATCCATACACACAATGAATACCCCAAAAGAGTTACCAAGACGCCATCAAACAATTTTCATCAGGGAGCACTAACAATAATAATTTTTCGATGATTTTTGCAAGTAGCAAATAGCGTGACGGAGCCCCTTTTATCACAACTAGCATGATCTCACGTCACAAATTTCTCTCCAACTTCCCAAGGTACCTCGCGCGCTCCGAAAGTTCGTGTTAAATAGGAGTAACACCGACCCAAGACGCCCTGGGTTCGAGGTTAGTTCAAGGTGGCCTCTCAACCGGGCCTCGCAACATAGATCTACACCGCTAATTTGAACGTATTTTAACGTTTGGATTGCTTTAAATACACAAAGAGAGATGATATAATCATTTTCTTACTTGGGCTTCCGCATCAAAAGCAAGATGATACATCTTAGCCTGTAAACAATCCGACCATTCTAAGAAATTAAGCTCGTGAATGCAAGCTGCATCAGTCGCAGCTGCTAGAGGTGATACAGTCGCTCGCCAGCGTGAGCGAGTCAAGAGTTGAGTGTAAAAAATATATTGTAAACAACAAAACGGATCAGATCAAGCCATTAAATAGGTTGTGGTGATGTAGATGCCGATCACATAATAAAAAGAAAAATGAAGCAGGTCCGGCATCATCTAAAGGACCAACTTTTGATGTTTTTTTTTTCTTTAACCGGGTTCTTCATCATGTTTTGCCCCAACAGCGTGAGATAAGTCCTTACCAATTGAACACATTATGAGTCAATGGCTAGGTCATATGAATGGATCAGTCAATACATACGGCTGAACGATGCATTGGTGAAGTTATGAAAAACATTTTCGGCACATGTTATTAATGTTTGCCTATGAAGATGCATCTGAGCTTAGAGTAAAGAATAAAACTCATAAAGTTTTTTTTTTTTCACAACACAGCAGTTAAGCTCAATTTGACTGCTTCGAATTAAACCTGCATGTAAATTTTCAAGAACTTCCCAATAAATTGCCTTTGTTAATATGGACCATGCTTCTCCCGGATTCGGTGAATCAATAGTACAAAACGTTAAGTGATTGTGGTCGATGTAATCAAGAAAAAGCAAACGAATATAATGTGAATATTGCCCTCCGGCCTGTTTTCACGGCCCAAAGTCAACAAAAAAAAAGAGAAAAAGACAGCATTAATAATTAAGGTAGCTCCCCGATACAAAACAAACAACCTATTTGTTGATTCAACTCTCAAGAAAAGAAATATCAAAGAAAATCTTTTTAAAATAAAATTTGTTCGTACGAGAATTGAAAATGTGTTCTGTACAATGTTGTCAAGAAATCATGTGCAAAGTCAAAGCACTTTTTTCGTGACTGGTAAAAGTATTTTACTATAAGCCACAGTCAATCTAAAATTTTAAAGTTTTTTAAGCTTACCCCAAATAGAGAGCTTATCCGTTTTTGTATGAAATATTCATTTTGTAACAATACCCGCTGTCGTCAAAAGACCGATCGACCCAAAAGTTAGTTTTCAAAACAGGAAGCGTATACCCGGCGAAATATGAATCTTTTTTTCCTGCCCGATAATTTCGGCAGACAAAGCGCGCGATATTTTAAACATGTGAAATGGATCTCCTGCTTTTCTTTCTTGTTTTTTTTTTCTTTCTTCTTTTTCTTCCCATTTGATATTCTCGCAGTTTCTTAACTCGATTAATGCTTCCATTCCGCTGCAATAAAAAGAACACGATGTTCGGTTGGGTGAAGGAAAGAGCAGGTGATACAACAAGCTGTGTGAAAAGGCGAGTTGAAAACATCAATCAACCACGTGACCATAAAACCATGATCTTGCCACGCTCCTCGGTGATAATTCATTACTGGGTTATGGCCCAAACAGGCACCTCTTTTCTTGCGTTAATGATTACTTTTTTGTGGCCGGTGGGCTGTCCAACAGCCGATTATTCAATGCCCGCTGTATGTTGGGGTAATTACTCCACTGGGCGCTAAACGATCACTTATGGAAAGTTCGCGCTCGCAACATCTGTGCGGTTCACCAAGAAAAAAAAGGAATTAATCAGCGTTTAAAAAGTCGCAACCGATTCAAAAAACTTTGTACGGGCTAGAGAGAACGTATTAAACAACCGCTCGACGACCATATCACGAGACGGTTAAATTTTCACCGCGAGTTACGAAAGTCAAAAGTAGTGATCGATGGAGGCGGTCTTCATTTCAGGCGCTCAAGGATTGAACACTGAAGGCCTTGGCGAAGGAGGAGATCTCGGTCGCAGGAATCGACACCATTCGATTGACGCCGTCGGGCGTTCTTTTTCGTCTTCGGCGCTCCGCGGAAGGTATTCTCCTGAAGGACGAACTCCTCGGGGACGCTTTAACAGCGATCTTGGAACCGGCGCCTTTGAACAGGCAGCGAAATTTCTGAGGCCAGAGAAAATCTCTGTATATCCTCTGTTGGGAAGATCAGCCAAAAGACGAAGAGAGCGAGTCAAAATCAATGTCAGTGGAATGATCTATGAGACTCTAGAGTCAACACTATCACGCTTTCCGGATTCACTTTTGGGATCTCCAAAAAAGCGGGAAAAATACTTCGACTCAAAGAAACGCGAATTCTTTTTCGACAGAAATCGCATCGCCTTCGATGCTATACTTTATTTTTATCAGTCGTACGGTAAATTGCTCCGGCCGGCCGAAGTTGACCGAAAAGCGTTTTTAGATGAAATTCAATTTTTTGAGTTGGGGGACGACGTTATTGAACGCTTTAAAGCGTTAGAAGTGAGCGTGGAACCGGAATCTGGACCGATGCCCGAGAATCCGTTACAGAGGAAAATATGGGAAGTAATGGAACTTCCCCATTCATCCCTTCTTGCTCAGATTGTTGCCATATGGTCCGTGTTTGTTATCTTGCTGTCAATTGTAATATTTTGCATTGAGACTTTGCCGCGTTTCCGGGAGAGCCGAAATGACAAAAACTCAGCGCTTTACGGCTTAGAGATGTTCTGCGTGGCATGGTTTACTGTGGAGTACGTTGTACGCCTGCTTGCCGCACCTCAAAAACTGCGATTCATTCGCGGCTTTTTGAACATCATTGATCTTATTGCCATATTGCCTTATTACATTATATTGGGGCTGTCGGCAGGTGGAAATGGAAAAGATTCTGGCTCGTCCGTGGCCTTCTTTCGAATCCTTCGCTTAGTCCGAGTTTTCCGAATTTTCAAGCTTTCTAGACATTACCGAGGACTGAAGATTCTTGGCATGACTTTGAAAGCAAGCCTGCGAGAACTTCTCCTACTGTCATTTTTTTTACTCATGGGAGTCATAATATTTTCCAGCGGGGTTTACTACGCTGAGAGCGCTAATTTCGGAAGCATCCCAGAAGCCTTTTGGTGGTCAGTAGTTACCATGACAACGGTAAGTATTGCCATGGTAACCTTGACTCATCGGACAGCTTCAGTCATCACCTTTCATCTCGCATTCGGTGATTGGCTGGCGATGATTATTTCTTTCCTTCAATCTGCGAATAGTGATAATCTGAGTGATAATTAAATTCAAAAAGTTAAAGAGCTATCTAAATTGAAATACATGATTCCCTTAAATGAAAAATGATTTTCTTAATTTACAATTCCCACATTTGCAAATCACGTTTAGTTGTTAAAACAACTTTGTAGTCTCAGAAACTCGCCGCTTTTTTAGATCAACGCTTTGTGAATAAGGCCATTTAAATCGTGAATAGAAATCGAGCGACCCGCAGTTTGAAATTTGCATAATACAGGTAAAAGCTTGAATAAAAGTTAAAAGCAAACGACAGAGGAAAATTTACCCTAACAGCTAGACAAATTAATAAACATTTTAAGGTTTTTATCGAAAATTCTACTTCAGGCGATCAGCTTCAAACACCGGTCAGCCTATAACAATTCAGCTATTTTTGTTGCCATTCTTTTTCAAAAAAAATAATGACTAAGACGTAGATATCTCAAAAAGTTAAGCGCATTTCTTGCCAAAGGCGACTGCAAAACCTACTTACGACATGTTCGGATCATACCTCGTAGGTAGTTTGAATAGATTCATCTTATCGTGTGGCGTTACCAAACGAAACTGCAATGTTCTTAAAAACACGGATAGGTGGCTGCTAATAAAAAAAAATAAAATGCCTACTGCAAAACGATATTTTCATACAATTCTACAAGGCCCCAAAACCTCGTTGCGCTATTTTTAAGTCTCAAAGAAAAATAAGAGGTTCAACAAATTTATCTCACTTTCGCATTCAGCACCTGGAGTAGCCTGCATTTAAAATAATATTTACGCGTTAAGTGCGATGAACAAGGCATTTCTATAAGGATCAAATTCTGATTCAGCGTGAATAGACAATCGATTATTTTGATATTAAGAAGTTGAATTCTTCACCGGATGTTCATCTACAATATTTTGACTTATTTTTGGGTAGCTTTCATATTTAAATCAAGGTTGGCGTCACAATTAAAAACTGGATATATTCCTTTATATCACGGCAAATCTCACACAGTCTTCCACAAAAAAAGTCTTACTAAGATTTTTTTCTATCTATTCATGGTCATCGTGGTTTTCATTCTCCACCGCAAAAGCTGAAAAATATCAAGAAGATAACAGCATTTTGGTATTATAGAAAATAAAAAGGTCTTAATGATAAGTTGCAAAGCTACCTTTACCAACATCAAAAGGACTAAATGATTTTTAATTTCGCAGATATGACACATTTTTAAGTCATATGGAACTGAGAAAGCACGTTTGCTAAGATAACGTATCAAATATATCTTTTCTTAGTGCTTTTTGGACTGAATGATTTGCTAAGTGGTTAAACTGCTTTCCAATGCAAAAGTTTGAAAAATCCTTTGCATAGTGTTCGCAGACGCCATTATTTTCTCGGAGTGGGGTTCTATTTTTGACCAAGAAAGCATGGCGTTTTAACACTCTTTATCTTTCGGTTTCATATTGTTTTTTGCCTGTCTTTTTAAAGCCCCTTCTCATACAAAACAACAAGAAAAGTATAAAAGTGAGTAATTCCTTTGCCTCTCGAGATGCATAAAATGACAACGCATGCGCAGAAAACAAAACAAGATCTTTGAAATTTGAATACTAAAATCGATAAAATATAATTATTTTCACTCTATGACAGTGAAAATAAAAACTGGCAAAGTTTTCATGCAGCTTTTTTTTGCAGCTATTTTCATTAGAGTTGTTAACTAACGTCTTAACTTTGCTTATCTAAGGTCAGTTAAAAAAATTATTGAAGAACTGCTATGGAGCATGCAATCATAATTTCTCCTTATGTGGAATTATGATCCGGCTAAACATCATCACTATTTTGTTTACGCAAGCTGTAGCTTCAAATTAAGAATTTTAACACCAAAATGAAGCCTGGAGGTCAATTAACGTAAACGTTAAAGAGTAATAAATGAGATGAAAAAGGTCTATTTGCATGCGAAGATAAAAAAGACGTAAAGGCGTTTTCTTGAAAATCACTGTTCTATTTCCCTCAGCGGTGAGTTTCACTCTTTTGATCAAAGCTTAGCTAGTCTGTCCACAGACGTTTTTCTTTTTCTTTTTTTTCGATCAATGAATGCTTCGCGGTTTTTATTTCCATACGCGCCCTCGACGCGATCGAAATAGAGAAAATAGAAGGTATGTGAACAAACTAAGGCCGGCTTAGCTGAAATTATAACTAAGTAACCTTAGTCATCTTTTCTATTACTTGAAACCATAAAAGAAAGATATCAAATGATTCTAACAAAGGGAAAAAAGGATGATCAGTTTTTGGACATGTTTCGACAACATGATTTTAAAATGAAAAAGTTACCCTCTCCCCCTTTTTTTTAAAGTGGCAATCCGTTTCCATCCTGGCAATTGAAAGTCAAAAACATGCACTTTTAGTTGAGGTATATAGTGGTAGAGCAGTTTTACATCAAACAGAACCCTCTTTGATTTCAATGTTTCGCCTTGGGCTCATATGAGAAATTTCAGCCCGGTTTCTGAGATCAAAAAAAGGGCAAAGATCCTGGGGACGAGTTCGGGCGCGAAATTCGTGAAACGAAGCAAACATCGCGAAACACAAAAATTTTGACTATCGCGCAGCCTGCTGACCGAGATCCCGATTTGAAAAACTGAGATCTCGGGAACCGAACCAGCCCGCCCTCTCATATAAACACATCGAAAATTTTACAAAGGATTTAGAGGTAAGGTGAGATCTTGGAAAGCGGGCTAGCCCGGTTAACCGGGCTCATGTGAAGAGGTCCTTCAAATCAAATCAAATCAAATCCTTTATTTAGACACGTAACACCCAGGAGCACTAAAGTTCTCGTTAAAACGTGTACGTGTAACAACGTGTTAAAACGTGTACGTCCTTAGCCATTGAATCTGTTTCCTGTCGTCTTTTAATACGGATGGCAAGGATGCACAATGGATTGAAACTTGAAAAAACCGGGCCAAATTTTTCAAGTTTTAATGCTATGCTTGCAAAAATCACCAAAAAATATTTATTACGCCACGGTAAGTAATCCCTTATGAAATTGTTTGAAACATTCTTCTTACATGCTACAGGAGCATTTTGTGTAAGGCCTGCCAAAGGTATACTGAATTGTAAGTATAATCAACCTCGTCCCCAGGGCTTTTCCCCCCCCCATCCATTTCTTAAGGGAAAAGCCCTGGGACCGAGGTTGAAGTATAATGACTTCGGGAAAGAATTAACCTTTTAAGCCCCAATATCCACATACAAATTCTCCAAACTGATCTCCATACATCTCCTTTAGGAATAAGTTGAGAGAATTTGACAAAAGATCATGGAATTTTCTCTATGGTGATCATTTTATTAATTCTCATAACCTTATCTCTTGACAGTGTATGGATATTGTTAAGAGAAAATTGTTGTTGGTCACTATTGGGACTTCAAGGGCTAACTTAAAACAGAAATATCATCATGCCATAGCCCTTTTAAGATAGTAAACGTCCATTGTTACTGGCTCACTGTTATTCTTTGTCTGCTAGGTTGGTTATGGCGACAAGACACCAACAACAGCATGGGGAAAGGTGATTGGCTCGATGTGCGCAGTCGCAGGCGTGCTTACTCTTGCCTTACCAGTCCCAGTAATTGTGTCAAACTTTAGCTATTTCTACACCTTGGACAAGGAAAAGAGAGCCCTGTATAAAGAGGATTCCAAGGTTACTATATCACGGGAGCAATCTTCTGCATCCACATCTTAACTGAGTCATTCTTGATTACACAGAAAGCAGGGTGGGTCTAGAGGGTTTCTTGGGGTGCCAGTGCAATTCCCTTCCGACCCCCTACGGATACAACTTCCCCCTTGTCACCCAAATCATAAGTATTCCTTCTTCACTTCAATACAAACTCTGTATGCGAGGTGAACACTTCCAGTTAAATACTAGATTCTACCCCGCCATGATGTGGCAATGAATTAATAGTGAGCTGAAGCAAAACCATTTTTTAAGCGAGTCACGTCAAAGGGAGACAGTAGTCTTTTTGTTTGCCCCAAATTTTTGGATGAAATCAGTCTCAATGTTACATAAATGTACTGCTAAAGAAACTAAGTGCACTTTCCATTTGTCAGAACTGACGGGCAAAACCATTCCCGTCGTAATGAGAATTTCACTTTTAATCAAACCTATCCAGCGAGATCAGTCAAATCCTGAATAGTATGCACGAAGGAGATGGTTTTCAGCAAAAACCCTTTTGAAAAAGCCGATGTCATTTGCTAACTGACTGGTCCGGCAATGGTCCGGCCGGCCAGTTCTGACAAGTGGAAAGTGGCCGCCCTAAGAAATACAAATTTCAGGGTGGCTTTTTAGAGGCATACTAAATAGTGAGCTTAAGCAAAGAAATTTTTGAGCGACGCATGCATGTCAACCGGAAGTGGTCTTTTTTTATTTTTAGAAGGTGGTTTTGCCCAAAGTTTGGACAAATCGTCTCTATTTTCGTCTCCTTATTATAAAGACACTTAGAAATGCAAATTTGGTAGCCTCACTTCCGGTTGACGTGCGTCGTTCAAAAACGCCTTTGCTTATCGGGGGCACCCAACGAGAATATAGTTCAAAACCGCTTAAACATAGCATTGTTAAACGTTTTTTAGTATTTAAACAGTAGATATGGGCATATTTTTATTCTCTAAACATTTTTCATCTGTTTGGATTTCCTATGGCTGAGAGTCTAGTGATCCGAAAATTATAGGGATCAAAACTTACCTTTTCGAAAATTTCGGCCAAAAAAAAGGCTCCTGAAAATTCTAGGTGCCCTTTTTAGGGTAAAAATCCGTTAAAATGGGCAATTATACCATTTTTAGATGTTTGAAAATCCTAGGAGAGGCAGGCAAGCAAGAATTTTACAACAAATGTTCCGAAAATTCTACTGATCTCAAATCGTCTTCCGAACAGATATTTTCCGAAAATTGATGTTGGGTGCCCCTGGCTTATGAAAAGTTCCCTCTCAAAAACGCCTCTAAATTCGCTTAAACTCCCAGCTAATGAATGATCATTAACTTTATTTATAACTATAGTTTTAACAAACTATATTACAATCATTTAAAACTATTATAACTAACACCAAAACCTGGATACTTCATCATAAAAAAATCCAGTTGTCAGGATGCTCCCTCCTCACAGCCGCTCAGGAACTATTTAAAATGTCTTCAAATCTCTGACATGGCTCGAAATAAGCCTCTTCAAACGGGTTAGTTTTAGGTTTGAACAACTCCATGATCCATGTCGAACGTACAGCATCTGAGGTTGTATCATGCATGAGTATTCATTTCCATTGCCTCTTATCATGTAGCATTGGACAATTTGGCTCTTCCATAGTATATCGCATGATCTCATTGAATAGTCTGCTTTTATAATGCATACAAGCTGCTCTATTTTAGACGTTTGGCTCAGCTTTTGCGGTTGATCTGCCGGCGATTTTAAGCAATTCTCCCACACAAGGCTACAAATAGTCCGACTCACGCCTACCTTAGTGATCAATAAAAAGAATTTATTAATAATGTCTTTTAAGTCGTTCGTATAAGATCTACTTTTATACAGTATACGCAAGCCATTCTGGACTTTTGTTATGATGTAAGATATTTGATCAGTATACCCTGAATTAGACTATCATCAATGCGTACGCCCAGCAATTTTGTGATAAATGTCGTCTCCATAGGTTAGCCAAAAAATTGACAATTTAATTGTTTCATAATTTCTACTCCTGGAGAGGAACGCAGCAGCACTTCTGGAAACGGCAGCACACGCACTTACTTGTTTAACGAATGATGGAGAGTTACAAACACGAACTTTAAGCCGTCTTAAAGAACAGAATAAGAGCCTGATCCGACCGAGAGAATTTTAGTTATCGGTTTTGAACTTTTGTACGTTTGCTTAATGGTGGCTCGGGCGGATTAAGAGTGGGCCCGAGGGGAGAGCACTCCGGGAGAGAGAGCACTTCGAGCGAGGGAGAGCACTTCGTTATAGCTCGGGTTCCACTCTATAAACCATTTCACATGACGTCACGTCCGCCATCTTGGTGTCCCAAACTCCTAGTCCTCAGGGAGTTGAACTCTTTTCTTACTTGAACGCTTTCTTTTGTCGCAATAAATTTAAATAGATGACGGCTAAGTAAGTGAAAATACCCTATACCTCCAAGAATTTTAGTTGAACTCTGCTTTTAATCAGAAATAAAGATTGCACATCAGAATCAGTTGTTTGCACTTATTTTGTTCTAGAAATCATATGTATACTTGAACTTTACTGCATTCAAAGACAGTACATCCCCTTCCCTTTACTATGAAGGCATGCTCGGAGACTCCAGGGCAGTTAATCGGGATGCATATGGGATATTCATGAGCGAACTCTGCCTGGGAAAACAAATTCGTGAATGTCACGTCCCGATCAGCTACCCCAGTAGGTCTCCGAGGAGGTTGTAAAGGCTATTGAATATATAGTGATGAAATAGCACTTTCTTGGTAAAACTACTTCTGATATAGCACATAACGGTTGGCTTGTACTCAGTCTCTTACTTTCAAATGGTGCGCGCGAGGAATCGAGGGAAGGAGGACCGAGCATCTGTTACTCGCGTGTGCGTCTCTCGCGAGGAAGGTAACAGAAAATAATTCAAAAGTTAATCATCGAAAAGAGGGATTATTTGACGATTCAAAAGCGAGATAAGCTATCTCAATGAATGCTAGTCAGCTTAAGGTTTAAGTCGATCATCGATAGATTTGTCCTCTCTATACAGAGTCTATAAAGCATAGATATTATCGGAAAGAATTAGCTCGCGTCTGGTTGTGGCAGGAGCTCATAACCCGGAGCGAGCAACTCCCAAACTAAGCCTATGTCACGGCGTTTTTACAGACCGGTTTATTTTTAGACACATTTTAGGGAAATTTTTCCCGCGAAAATGGAATCTCCACCACTTCTATAAACACATTCGAAGTATAAGATATCGAAAATGAAAACCTGACGTCATTAAAAGGCAAAAATTATTATTTTTAGGTCTGTAGGTTTTGCTGACTGGTTTGTGGGACTTAAAAGATATTCTACATTCGCGCCAAAACCGTTCTAAAAATAAACTGGTCCGTGATAACGCCGTGACACGAGTGCATGGAAGTTGCTCGCTCCAGGTTATGGGCTCCTGGTTGTGGGGATTAAAGGATCTCAGTCGTTTTAACAACAATCGGATGGAAAAAAAACTGTCCAGGACATTTTTAATGTGAAATAACTCTCACAGCAACACGTTTCTGACAAACTGTATCCAAACTCGCATTCAGTACAGACTGAAAAAATTCAGCGAAGTTGGACTTCGTTTTACAACTAGCCGGCGATAGCCGGCCACAACCGCCGCCTACCAGTTAGCTCAGTTGGGAGAGCGCCGGACTGCTGAGCGGAAGGTCGCGGGTTCAAATCCCGGCCGGACCAACACTCAGGGTCTTTAAATAACTGAGAAGAAAGTGCTGTCTTTGTAATGACAACTGCAAAAGGTTAGACTTTCCAGTCTCCTGGGATAAAGGCGAAAAAAAGTAGGTCCCGTCTCACAACACTTCCACTCATTTCACCAGAACCAGTGGTTCCTGTGGAACGTAAAAGAAACCACACCACTGCTTGAAAAGAGTAGGACACGTAGATCCCGGGGGTGTGGCAACCTTTCCTGGACTGGGTGAGTTATCTGTAAGGAGAGATCTTAATATGGAGATAACCTCATGATCTTCCTTCAGGTATCGTGATGGCTACATCTAAACACTGTATGTATGTGTATGTATGTGTAAACAACTGCAGTGCCGATAAACCAAGAACATACTCGTTATAGCTCCAGGTGTTAAAATCCCGAGAGATTAGGTAATATTCAGTAAGATATTGAGTTGGTTCTGAAGGCGGTCAGTCCGGCGGAGGGCATTCTCGTCCCCAGAGCACGTAGTTTCTCGTTATAAATTAAGCCGAGTGGCTCTGGGGACGAGAATGGACAGAGAGTATCCGCCATAGTTACTTTGCTGTAGATCGTTTTCACATGACTTCGATTCACGGTGGTCATGATGGTGTACCAACAAATCCGAAGAGGATTGAAATCTTTTTTCACGTAACAACTTTCTTTTGTCCCAAAAAATTGCGTAGCTGCTGACCACGGGAGTGAAAACGACCTATCAGGACCCGCAACATCGAATTCATAGGCAGTTCCGCTAATATATTCTGCGCCTCGTTTTTCCAATACTACTTTCGATTTCGTAACTTTTTTGGCTTATATTGCGTGCTGCAACGCAGCTGAAACGGGGAAGGAGACGGTAGAGGGGGAGCTCAAATCCACCTTCCCTCACCGTTTTAGTTCCCAATGACCCGATTCCTGGCCCAGTGGCAGACGTGCTTGGCCACCCGGGCAGGAGATACTCTCTCATAGATAAGCACAGCACAAAAGGGCACTGTTTGGGGTCTAAACTGGATATAGATTCAGTATAACCTATTCGGTCTGAAATAGGGCAAGGTCATTTATCTCATGAGAAAATCAGGTCAGGTTTAGAATAGGTAGAGTAAATCACATATTTTGGTCTAAAATAGGGTAAGAGTATTAGACAGCATACCGCACACCTCCGCCGGAATTTTTTAAAAGTACAACCCCACATGTCTGACCTGATCCCCGTCACACGAATTCAAGTCTACTTTTCCTTTTCCAAAATAGGCAAAGCCCAGATCCCATTTTACCCCTCAGCTCAGTGCCCTCTGATCTGTTGTTGAGGCGAGTTGTGTTAAGGCAAGAAGAGACCTGACGATTGACGCGGTCTAGAAATACTGGCTTTCTTTTTACATTGAAGCAGCTTACTAAGTGAAAACAAATAATCTTCCGGCGATTCAAAACGTACTCAGACAGAGGGCTAATACACACTTTGCAGTAGCGGATCCAGGGGAAGCCCCCCCCCCTATTTTTAGACCAAACTGAGACCCGAAAAGCCGAAAAAAAATTCGGAGACTGCCCCCCGCCCTTATCTCAGGGTCTGGATGATCACCCCCCTCCCTTATCTGAAGGTCTAGATCCGCCACTACTTTGAGTGTTTAGGTTGTCCGAAAGTGTCGAAAACAAGTTGAACTTACATGCATGGCCCGCCCCCTCGGTACAAATGAAATGAAGATGGCCGTCGGTATCTGTAAGCATTCAATCCTGACGATCTTTCAAAAAATAGGGGACTGTGTAAACAGTCATTAAATATAGCCCTTAAGAATCCAAATCCAGTAAAATTCGCCTGAATTTGACAAACTGAGCGAGGCTATATATATAAGCAACAGAGTTTCAAAAAAAGCAAATTCTTTACTTTTTTATTCACCCGAAATGCCTTCACATGGACAGGCCAATTTATTCTTCCTATTGTTATTCAGTTATTTTTAGCTTTAGAGGGCATAATTTCCCGTCGTATCTGGGAGCAACCGAAATGTAATGAAGCTATAAAATAGTGTTTATACGCTTTGCACAAAAATAAACCAACTACGCCATATAGAAAAATTTGGCCCCGGCAAGAATATGCCCTTAAGGTGACATATTCTCAAGCGCACAAGTTTTGTACATTTTAAGTAAAACTCTTCAAGCAGTTGACGCAGATATGACCTAGTTTACATCCTAGTATAACGTCTCCAATATAATATCCGTAAATGAAATGCCCTAATAGTGAAAATAAACGACAATATACCAATATTGTTTTAAAGTGATATTTTGAAATCTCCACTTGCGAAAAATCACGTATCATATAATATCTGTTGGTGACGCGATCACTTGGCCACCAAGCAACGACGACGGCAACGGGAGCGAAAACGTCACCCAAAAAGTGAATTCGCTCTGCTTCAAACGTCATCGCTCTTATTCCAACTCTTTTCATTTGTCAAATGTTAGTAGCCTGCGAAAACAGCGGTTTCTCCTCGCTCCTTACCGCTGGGGACGTTTCGCGAGGAGCTTTTTTTCGCACGCTAAAATGTTGGCGAGTTTTTCAGGAGTTGCATTCTGTAGGATTGTGTCTACCGGTTCACAAAAAGAAAAAAGAATTGTACAAAAGAAAGTTTTCATCGTGAAAATGCGGCAATTTTGAATGGTCACAGCGTTTGACAATTAGTTTTAATAACAAAAGCTATTTTTTAATTCAGTTTGGCTCAATTGATGAAAAAACCTGACACTTACGGATTTCCAGTGGAATAAAATAATATTTTGTATTAATTCCGTGAAGAGAAAAATGATTTAATGAGGTTCAGTTTTGACTGGTTTTTAAAATGTTTCCGCTCTTTCCGCAGTGATTGTAAACATTTGACTTTATTTCAATGAGTTGATTATTATTTAATTTACAGCTACATGTAAACACAAGCCTGTACAATTTGTGACTTTTTTCTTGACATTTATAACAGCAAGACTTACAAAAGTTTTTCTTGACTTTCCACAACTGTAATAGATTTCAAAAGAAAACGCGTTCTCATTTACAAGAGAGGGGCGAAACTACAATAGAATCATCAAACCATGCCATGATGGAGTTGTACGCACTTCCACCATGGCATCGGTCACAGCCTGTTCGTTTGATGTTTTCAACTTCCTTCATGAGAAGTGAACCATACATCAGAGGTTTCTGGTTATTAAATTAACTCGCTAAAGAGAAAACTCTTGTCATAAAGATGTGTGAAATGAAAAACGCTGACTAAGACTAGCCGCAGCCGGAAAACCGAGTTCTAATGCCGTTCGCGAATGTGAGGGAGTTGTCCTCGCTGCTCGACTCAGGTTCGAAGAAGTCCCATCCTCGTACATGTAATTACTTCGGTGAGAGACAAACATATGCCGAAGTCCTTGTCGGAAAATTTTGTCTCTGACGGCGTACACATAAAAATTGACACAGCTGTTGGACACAGCAAGATACAGACCAGCACGAACAAGACGAGCTGGGAGCTCGCTTAACGAGGCGAACAGCTTCCACAGGGAAACCGCCGTATACACGGACCAACAAAGGAAAAACATGCCAATGATTATAGAAACAGTTCTTGCAGCTTTGTGAGATTTCGTCACGTCCATGCTGTTTGCAGCTGTTCCAGAAAGTTGAATGTTCTGAATGTTGCGTAGTTGTTTCCGAGCTGCCTTGTAGATCCTTAAATACGCAATAATCATCACTAAAACCGGAAGCAAAAAACACATCAGTGCTAAGCAAAGCGCGTAAGTCTTGTCAAGAAGTTCATCACCGCTCCAGTTGGGTTTGCAAGTTGCGGTACTTTCTTCGTAGACGTACTCTCCCCAGTTAAATAAAGGCGCCACGGCCCAGAATACGGAATGAAACCACACCAAAGCGATGGAGATCGCGGTCTTTCGACTGGTCACGATCTCTCGGTAGTGCAGAGGTTTGGTAATGAAGTAGTAGCGATCGATCGAGATGGCGCACAAACTCATCAGTGATGCGTTCAGTGATATACAAATTGTCACGGCATGGGCTACGCACACAACACTTCCAAACACCCATGTCTGATTAATAACGCTGGCGATAAGCAAAGGGCAGTAGATTACTCCCACCAGTAAATCAGCTACGCTGAGGCTACACAAAAAGTAGTAGTTCGGCTTGTGAAGTTTTGAAGTCCGCCACACTACTATTAACACAAGAATATTCCCGACGATTATACCGATGTTCACAAGGCACAGAAAAGCGGCACTGAGGGCCACTTCTGCGACGGTGAGAGACCTTTCAGCGCCCAAATCAAGCGAACCTTTAGAGTCGTTGTTCATCTTCGCGTGAAGTCTTCTTTAAAAATTGGAAATGCTGGCACCATCACGGTTATTAATATAAAATATCACATTAAGTTGTTACCACGTGAACGCGCGACTATGAACTGCAATAATACGTGACCCCACACAAACCTCTCGAGTGCTCTTGAAGTGTATCGCCCGCCGGAACTACGAACATGTTTTTTAATGTTCGCACACGGGCGTCGATCACGAACTTTTTACCATGAGAAACGTTACATAAATAAGTTATGATGAATAAGTAAACATCCGTTTCTTAGTTTTTACCAGCACCTACATGCATTGATCGACACAACTAACACAATAGCAAGGTGAATACACCTCCTAAAGAAAACAATAATTGCGCTGTGGCTTTATGGCCGGTAACCGGCCAAGGTTTTTAAAATACTAAATGACCGGCAGTCTCATATCCTCCGTAAATTTCACAAATCGAAAAAATACAGCTAATTTAAACTATCATGTCGATTAAGAAAAGTCAAGCGATCCTGATCGAAAATACTGCAGCAATGAACGCTCTTCGACTAAGTGCTATACTTTTGTCTTGTTGACAATTACCAATGTCACTTCTTACTGCTATAATCAGCGTTCGGTTTTAAGGAATTTAAATAGTTCAAGTTGTTGTAAACAAGGACTCCAGCTAGGAAAATGAACCGAGTAACTGAAAAACACACCGCAAGAGAAGATAAAGGTATTATCAGAAGATTTTAATACAATCGCACCCATGATTAGCAAACGATAAAGTCTTGTTATTCTCTTTCCGCTGATTTGAAGCTTCAAACATCAGAGATCGTTAACGCTCGCGAAAAAAAAACAAAAAAAGTAATCAGGATTTAATAACGAAAAAGGTGCTGGTTTTGGCGTTAGACCATGGATTAATTGACCCAGCCACCATTTCACTTTAAATGAAGTGAAAACAAATCAGTAGTCATCAATAAAAACTTTGTACAAAATACGCATTTCGTATTTTCAGTACATAACTAATATCTGCATTAAAGAGCGAAACTCGACCAAAACAATTTAGCCAAAGAGAATCATATTGAAACAGTACGAAAAAATAATTTACTGTAACTTATATTAATGGCCATATCCTGATTTTCTCATATTTTCGATACTATCCTTAACTACAGGATGACTTTAAGTGCAAAAACCACAGTAACCCGAACAACTTACATTAAATTAAGTTTGGCTTAATTCATCTTCATTCGAGTATTTCGCCCTGGAAGCGTTGAGGGTTAAAAGTTATTTCGGCAGTAATTCACGATATGTTAAGGTCAATCAAAGTGCTCTAAAAAACTCCCGCAAAATCAGTTAAATTGTTCGTCCTTCTACAACAGCTATTCATGCGTAGATGCGGCGATTTAAGTATTGCAGTTTGAAATTTTCATCCTTTCTCTTTACTATTAATTAATTTTTTCTTGCTTAATGAAGTACCAAGTGATTATTAAAGTAATTCCTAACAAAAAGCATTTCACAGTCAGTGTCACGATTTTTTTCACAGTCGCTAAACGAGAAAGTAATTCGAAAATAATTTACGATATTCTGGCTTCCGTGCAACATCAACATCACAATACAAAGTTTGGAATGATAAGTTGTGTTTAGTTGGATCGTTCCGGCCTTCCGCCGGTATCGAAAACGTTTAAATAGGTGGTTTGAGACTATGAGGTTTGAGGTTTTCAAGGGTTTTTCTTTGGCCTCGATCTTCAAAAATTCTAAAAAGAAGCAAGCACAAAATAAAGAAAAGAACTTCAAACAAAACGAGCTGATGATTTTGCAACCTAATTCTCGACCTCGCTGCGTGATTTCCACCAGCTGTTCATCATCTTATCATTAAACATTTATAACAAAATGTAGCTACATTAATTCAAACTAGAGTCTTCTAAAACACAAGGGTTTCAACTAACATTCAGCGTCAGAGGGAAACAGATGGGCTTCAAATCGTTTAAGTGTCATGTTTTTTTCTTAAACATCAAGGGTTTAAACGTGACTTACAGTAAAAACTAAACTTCAATGAGAACACAAAACAAAAAAAACGTGACCAATTGAAATAGTTTAAGTAAACAACAATTGATTTCTACGTGAAGAACTAACTACCCGGCATAGTAAATCGAACGTTCGAAAATCGAACTCAATCGAACTCAATCCGTGGATTGAGTTCGATTGAGTTCGGCAATCGAACGAAATCGAACGCCACACTTTCAGTGAGTTCGATTTCCGAACAAATCGAATTCAATCGAACAAATCGAACTCAATCGAACTCAATCCGTCTGATTGTGTTCGATTGAGTTCGGAAACCGAACTCAATCGAACACAATTAAATGGATTTCGTTCGATTGGCTCTGGTGAACCTATACAAAGCAAGCCCAAAGCAAGCCCGTCAAAGCAAGTTTTTCTTGCGCTTTTTTTACTATTTATTCAATATCACAAACCCCATTTATAAACTGTCCACGGTAGTTAAGAGAAGAGAACAGAACAAACCCTGAAAACTTCGCCATCCTTGACGTCAAAGCGGCATTCCTGGTAGCCTTTGACTATACATTTGAAGCTTACGATCCACAACGCATCTGAAGCCATTTCTGCGGAATTTCTTCGTTTACGAAAAACACGTGCGCTACACTCAGGGCTGAAGTAACTCAAGCTTCTAAGATCTGGTAATGGATTTTCAACGTCTGTTTTACATAGATCACGAGTTCGAAAAGCAAACGTTCGATTGGGTTCGATTGATTTTTTTTTCTTTTCGGTGAGTTCGATTTCGTTCGATTGCCGAACTCAATCGAACTCAATCCACTGATTGAGTTCGATTGAGTTCGATTGAGTTCGATTGAAATTTAGTTCGATTGGGTTCGATTTACTATGCCGGGTAACTAACGTCTATTTACTTTCTCTTCAGCAGATGTAAAATATGATTTCAAACAAGGGGTTTTTCACGCATCTTGATGTTTCTTGTCAAATTACTCCTCACTCAAGCACAAAAAGAGAATTTTTAAATGATAACATGCTTGTATCCGGCCTTAAAAAGCGGGTTTGTTTTCTGTATGTTAGAAGTTTTTATTCTTTTCCTTCCGTTTTCTCTTAAGACTAGCAGAAAAGGAAGCTTACAGTATTAAGAAAACATGAGTTTCTGTCGGTGAAACCAATCACTTTATTTAATCCGGATAAATGTTATAATCATTAAGGATGCATTGAACAACAGCCCTTCTGATAAGACACAAACCAAAACAAATATCTGTGTAAGCCTTACAAGAGAAGGAGTTTCAACTTACCCTTCTACATATTGAAAAAAGCGTTTAAAAAAATATAGACAAACCAAAACTAATCGGTCGGAATATTTGGTCTGTTTCAAAGGCCTATGACGTAAGACCTTCCTCCAGGATTGTGAAGAGGGGTAGGGGTGGGGCGAGATAAGCACCACTCGTACCAGACCTTTTTCCTCGTACACTTTCTCCAGAAGTGGCAAGCTATTGTTGAGCCCGCAGTCACATACTGTGGTTCCTTTAAATTAAGAAAAACATGGCGTCAGCGGAAAAAGTCAACGACTGCTTGCTTATATAAAATTAACTTAAGGAAATGTAGTGATAACTTTTACTTCCTACAATAAAGGAAGACTGCTTTCAATCCCCGTCAACATAGGTCGCGGGCATACATTGTTCAATTTATAGGCATGTACCCCAAGATGTAAGGATGGTGCACACATCATTATCACTAAATTTTAATAACAGCGAGATCGATCAAGTCGCAAGATGACCGAGAAGTTTTGTAAGACTGTGCGACGAGGAACAATCACATTGCTGAGCACCATTTAAAGACGAAACATCAAATTGACTGGGACTCTGCGACATGTATAACGTATTCTACAGACTACTATCAACGTCTTACTTTAGAAAGCGGGTTTACTAACTTAGAACAAACGCCACTGAATCGTAGTCAACAGTTACCAGCGCCGTACAAACGACTTATTGACGAGATCAAGCAAAACTAACTACGAGAGAACAACTGGAGAACTAACAATTTGACTAACAATAGACGACTGTTTAACTGCGAAAATAGACGGATCGAAACGCACCAATCACTGATTACGAGTCTTCATAGCCAATAACATCACGGCTTAACTGACAGACGACCAATAACATCGCGACATAATTGACCAATCAGATCAATAACCCGAGTATAATACCATCAACTGACGTGATACAACTCACTTTGACTCTGAAGATGACTACCGCACAGGTTGTCGAAACGTCAGTCACTGTCAACAACAACAGTCCTATTCAGGACTACGTTCACCCGGACGATCAAACTCAACCTTTTGAAGTTTTGTAAGATTGCTTTTCACATTAGAGCTAAAACATTTCGCTCACAAGCGTGATATTTTGCCCCTCAGTATGATATTTTTGGCTCGATGGTTATTCCGTATGTGGTATATCTAAAAAAAATTATGCATTTCGGTGGCGGTAATGCCATAGCTTTTTACCAAACCGCGAAAAAACAGTACACGCCGAGTGGGCTTTCATATAACGCAGGCCTCAATATGGCACGATGAGAAGCAAGCTAAACTATAACAAGGGCGAAACAGCGGTGTATGACTGCCTCTGCCCGGGTGATATGGCTGTGCGCATGAGTGAGGTACTAGCAAGACCGTGGGTTGGTTTAGGTGTGTCACGTACCCTTAAGTTTGTCTAAACTGCACGTACCTTGATAGGAAAGAAAAATGGAAACCAACTGAACATTCCTTCTGAATGCGTTTCTGGTCTTATACCTGAAAAATATAAAGGGAGGAGAGATAACAGTGGACAAGGGAACTTGATGTTTTCCGAAAGTACAGCACAAAAATAATCCTCGGAGACCCAGGGAGTCAGTCGGGTCAACCAGTCAAGCAAATCGTGACTTCTGTTTGGGAACAACCTTGGTGAACAACGAACCGGACAAGTACAATATAGTACGGCGAGACAATAGCAGTCGTGTACGAACACACAAAAAAAACTTAGGCGATGCTGTTCGCCGATTGGGCACAATAATACAAAGCATTTTTTGTGCCCAATCAGGAGCCAGCATTCACTAGACCGTTTGGAAATGATCCGGTAAGAGTCGGTAACCAGGGGCCCTTCCGCCCGCGCTTGAATACTTTCGTCGCGCCTTTTCTCCCGACCCCTGGGTGACCCCTGGGTCTCCGAGGATGCATAAAAATGTGTAAGCGAACAAACCTATGTGACAATGGCAAAAAGTGGTGTGGTAAATATATTATATTATCAATAAATTTGAATATATCGGTACACTTGTGATACCTCGACTGTAAACTTCATAAGTTTTTCGTTAGCATCTTTAATCATTGCTTCAAAACACCAACTGAGACAAAGGTTAACTAATCTATTCCCTTAATACTTCTCTGCGTCTTCAAAGCTTTCTTTCTAATGACCCGGTGCCTTCCGAGTTCCAAAAAATCTCACTTTCAAAGCGAGGCTAAGTGCGAAGCTATTGATATGAAAATGATTTTTAATTATGATGCACATGAAACTCATTTTCACAACAAAGGTTTCGCACTTAGCCTCGTTTTGAAAGTGAGATGTTTTGGAACTCGGAAGTGGCCTATTCTATAATTTGTACTTACTCAGAGTGACGTCCTTGTAAAGTACTGTTTCAAAGTAGCCAGCGAATCCGTGCATTGTGTAACTTGTCTTAGCTTCGAACTCTAAAGATTTCACGCGTGAATTGTCGATTCTCTCAACTGGAAGGCAAAGAACAGGAGGTATGATTTGTATTGTGATTGGTCCGTCTTATCCGATGTGCGGGAAAAAATGAATAGGCGAGCGAAACGAGCCGAGCGTGGCCTGGGGGAGGAAAAATGGCGAGAGAGCCTGTAGACTTTGTTTTGATGCCCCAAGCCATGCTGCACTCACCTCGGCTCTAGTGGAGCCTGTTCGCTGAATTTGCCGAGCGAGAAACAGACAAATGAAGACAAAAACTTAACCCCGACTGAGGTAAGAGCTAAGCATATTTGAAACTATTAATAATTTTGAATGAATAATAAGGCAATTATCTGGGAAGGCTGAGTATGATCGGAAGAATTATGTAGTCCTTGGAGAGTGTTATCTGCTGAGGCAGAAAACCCTCGATCCTCGATCGGCATAATTCTTCATATCATACTAAGCTTAAGGCAAGAACTGCTTCGGTTACGGTAAAGTGGGAACCGCAAGGGACCATGGGAAGGGTATCCTTCCCGCCTTCCTTTGCGCGCACATTTTCATCGAGAGAGAGACGTCTGGGTACGAGGCAGCTGCAAAAACCTGATTTGTCGCAAGACAGGTTTGAACATGGGTGGTAAAACGCGCAATAAAGCATTTCAAACTTGTTTCGCAGCCATGACGAAAAAAAAGTTGCACGTTTTTGTTGCTCGTTTTACTGAACCTTAGGTAGTTTGAAACCGTTCACAAACCTCTGTTTGGATGTGAAAAGATAAAGCAGGGCTGAGGAGGTGCTATCAGAGAAACGTTATGAAGTCGAACCACGTAGGGGGTCTCAAACGGAGCCTACAAAAAAGAAATGACAGTAAAATAAATAAACAAAAAAAGGATAGGAAAATGGGATCATTTTACGTTTCGGTGAAACATGCCACCTACCCCTCCCCTAAACCAACATTAACACCTGTAGTTCTTACTTAGGGCAAAATTTTGGCTTCGGGGAGGGGTAGGTGGGCAGTTTCACAGAAACGTAAAATGATCCGGAAAATGACATTGACGATGGGGCAAAATATCAAAATATCTGTATAGGAGCAAGTGTAACAAGTCAAACTGCGAAAGAAATTCTTTTGAGTGGCAGGTCACATCACATGATTTCCGGCGCTTTCCATTCAACAAAAATTCCGATTTGAAATTTCGGAAATTTCACGTGCCCAACGGAACGGTACATTCCGGTTGCACATACCCGACCCAAGACACCGCGCGTTTGGTTATTGTTCTTGTAGGTAGGATACAAAAGAGCGGTCCTGGGGACAACAATTGTGTCAAATGGAAAGGGACATTTAGGTCCGACCGACCGAAATGACCTGAAAGGTCAAAATGGACCACCTTTCAAGCTGGTCCGGAATATTCCGGTCAGACCAAACCGAAATGGTCCGTTCGATGTGACGTACCAACCGAAATTTCTGGAATTTTGGGTTGAATGGAAAGCGCCCTTCATCTCCAAAAACAACCCTTGTAAGAACCATCATCACCTCTTGATTCCTTTTTGTAATTGTATAACTTCTTAATAAAGATGACTTCATTTTTTGCTAAACACATTAGTACAAACGAATAACTTGTATAACCGGTGAGGCCAAGAATAAAAGCTGGGCTAGCAGCGAGTTGAATTTGACTGAAATTACTGTACATTCAACTCGCTTTTAAAAGGCACGTAAAGAGGTGTAGATTTTACGGCCTTTAAGATGCCCAGCAGATCGTCTTTGCCTCTCTCTTTTTGGGACGAAAATTCTCCTCATGAGCACCATAAAAACTGTATGGAACACAGTACGAAGAAAACACCTCCTGATCTGAGAGTTTTAAGAGTTGCATGTAATATTACCAATGGTCCTTTGCCACTATCGTTACTCTGAGCGACTTCAAAGTGCAATTTGGGTGCAGCTATTGGAGCCAAAAAGGACGTGTATTCACACGGGATACTTATTCCATCATCTGTAAAAAAAAAAAAACAGATCATAACTACAACGACTCAAGCCCAGGAGAAAAAGATGCAAGTCATTTGAGGCATATACTTGGTCAGTTGATTTATAGACTGTAAAGGAAGGCGTACACACTCTTGTCAAAGTCGTTTAGAGTCACTAGGGCACGGAAACGGCGACGGCGACGGGCCTATTTCTCCTTCATAAATGGTCATAAACTTCGATACAGCCTCCTAGAACTCAACTCCAGAACAAAATTACCATCATTTAACGAATTGAACGACATGGAATAAGCGCGATAAAGTTGAAGCAGTGCGACTTCAATTTTTAAGTGACGTTTTCGTAACCGTCGTCATCATCATTGCTGCTAAGTTCTCTGTTAAGATGAATCGGGTCTGGATGCTAGTAAACTGAGCTAAGTTTACTTGAAACCTTGCTCGCGCAATGAATAAGCAAATAAAACGAAATATATGGATGGGCCATAAAATATCGAAAATTCACTAACCTTTAAGAAAACTCTGCGCTCCGTCCAAACACTCGGGAGATAATTCGTTGTCACCAAATGAACCCAGCAACTCACTCACAAGAATATCAGCCTGAGGATAAACCAAGAATATGAATTCACGGAAAGATTTGACAGCCATAAGATCACGTGCCACTACTACTCTAAAATACTACCTTTTCAGGAGCATCCCACTCGCGCATGTCACATGACACAACAGTGACATCACCGTTCCACTCTTCCTCTTTCAAAGTTTCCAACCTACAGCAGAGCAAAATGTTAGCTTTAAAATCTACTTGAGCAAGCTTCTCCACCCCAGGCGTCAAACATCAAGAGCTTTTGCATTCAGCTTACACAGAATACTTGTTACCTAGTTTATCAAAGATCAATTTTTATTACAGTATCTATAGGAGGTATCCATCTATGCATGGGCGGCGAAGCAGGGGGGAGGGGGGATGTCCGTAGCCCACACGCTTTGGTGCTAAAAAGAACAAAGATGAATTTGACAATACCTGTGACATAGGCGACTTCAGAGCACACATTTTCTGCCCTCAGAAGACTCCTACGGTAGGCATTAGCCCATGGTTGATTGCTACACAATTAAATTCTTGATTTGAAGTGGAATGTGGAAAATCCTAACACAACAAGATAGAAACACTCACGTGACTACAGCATTGGGGTTCTTCTCCACTGCATACACTCTGACCTTTCGTCCTGACTCCTCTCCGGCTGTCAATGAGGCTCGAACGAGTGGACCACGCCCAGCACCAACTACCATAATTACCCTGACAAGGAAACGGCTGGCAGTTAACTCTTTAAGTCCCAACAGTGACCAATATCAATTTTCTCCTAACAATACCCATACATTGTCAAGAGATAAAGTTATGAGAATTAATAAAATGATCACCAAAGAGAAAATGCCATGATCTTTTATCAGGGTTAAAGGAGCTGTGTCACGAAACTTATTGAAAATTCTAACGGCAGGAAACGCCACCAAACTGAGTAAAACACTAATATAACTGCTAAGAACATAAAAATAGGGTATAAAATAACACAGCAAATACAAAAGAAGGAATTATGGATGGACAAACTTGGAGAAGATTGAAACAGATTGCAATTGTATTTTTTGAAAACTTGTTAGCCTAACAGTTTTTCCAAGTTCATTTTTGTTGTTTGTAACATTTGATTTAACGCTTGGGAGACATATCTGTTCGCCAAAATGTCGTGTTATTTTGCCATTTACAAGTAATTTCTCAAGTTCCATGGCGAATATGGGTGCATAATTGGAATTGTTAACAAAATTAGCTACTCAACGGTAACATACCCCTTTGAATATTGCACTACTGATTGTATCCACAAGCAATAACTGTTACACAAAATAACAATACTAACGTTACAACAGAATCCTTTTGGTCCTCGGGAACTCTGTCAAGTAATGCTTGATGAACTGCCTACAATTGAGAATGTTTTTACTTCAGTCAGTGAAACAGGTGATTTGGGAATAGAAATGTGAGTTCGGCTGACACAGGGTTTTAAAACAAAACCTTCTGGGCCCAGTTGTTCAAATGCCGGTTAGCTGTAACCCAGGATTAAATTTTAACCTGGGCTTCTTTTCTTTTCATCAAAAGCACTCTCTTGGATAATTTTCCATATTCTTTTTAGAGTATCCAATCATGAAATGGTAGTCAAAGTGAATTAAACTGAATTAGTTTTTGAAGCTATCATATCTAAGCTCAAATTTTGCACTAACCCTGGGTTATCTCAACCCAGCTTTGAACAACTCGGCCTTGGTCATTAGCTAGTCCAGATGGTACCAAGTTGCATAAAACCTTTCATCTGACATAACTGTTAACGTCTGGAGTAAAAATAAAGAGTTTGACTGGGCTGAAGGCCGACCTTACTAGTTATGTCCAATGTTCAGATTTATACAACTGGTCCCTGGAGACTTGTGCTCACTACCCCAGAAATAAATTACAAGTGACAAGAGTCTGAGACATGATATTTTTAAAATTAAAAATGTCCTACGTGAAACTGAAGAGGGGCATGTACGCATTTGAAGACACAGTTATGTAGTTTATAGAGCATGAAAAGCATACACTGGCAATGGTACTCAGTAATAAAAAACAAAATAGCCAAAATAATAACTGTTGCTAAAGAATCCTTTTTAATTGCACTGACATTCTTTACGGTATAAAGGGTAAAAGATTACAACTAATAATAAATACATTTAAAGAACCAACAAGAGAAAACTAAGTATCCTACCCTTTGATATTCTCTATATTTAATAGGATCTCGTTCAAATATTTCATATGTTTGAGACTCTAGATTGTCCATCAAAGGCTGAAATATAATAACAGAAAAGTCAGACAACTCTGTAAAATTATACAGTTTTCATTCCCCCACTTGTACTACACCCCCACCCCCACCCCCACCCTCCACTTGTATGGTATGTTGTTGCACGCTTCTGTACTTTTTTGCCTCCTAACAGACACAAAGAGATATTCCGCAGTGTGACACATTATCTAAAAATCTACTAACTTGACACCCTTTAAAGGAGATTTAATGTTATAGAGAGTTTACTATTATTTGGTTAAATATTATTTTTTACAAAAATATACGATTGTTTATGATGCAGGGGCACCCAATGATGGTTTCCTCTTAAATGCATTGAAAACACTTTTTAGGCAATCCGCAACAGTTTTAGATCTCTAGAAATGCATTCTAAGTTGCGCCATAGAATTTGTATCTGTTCAGTCATTGAGTCTTCTCTGAATTTCAAGGGCTTGAGTATTATTTTCCCGAAAATTTTCTCATGAAATTGGATGCATTTATAAATTATATGAAAATGAGAATTTTTCTTATTCCTCTAGCCATCACATTTTTGAATCCAAAAATTTTACTAGGTTCCCTTTTTTCTACAAAAAAAAACCAGCCTAACTTGGGAAGCAAAATTTGAAAATTAAACTTCGGAAAATCGTAAGGAAATTTATTAGATAAGCATCGAAAATTGTCCATGAATGGAACAGTCATCTAAAAAAATTTACTCATCCTCAAGTATTAGAAAATTCTAGGAAATATTTGCTTCTCCAAAAAAATAGTTTACAGAAAACTGTCGTTGGGTGCCCCTGATGATGGTAGATCATTACAATAAGAGCCATCAATTCTGTAGGTCAATTCTTGATCTGGGACTCACTCACATGGTGTGTCACATAACTGTTTGACACAAATTTCCTGCATCAAAAAATAACCTCTATCTTTCAGCAAAGGTACAAAATGTACCCTTTTTGAGCCGTGGATCCAATATCCCCAGTACTCAGAAGAATTACTAGAATATATGCTGATTATACATGTAGCATGGCAAATGATGGTGAATAGTAGAGCTTTTAGCCCTAAAATTTAAAGCGAGATGCAATACATTTCTTACCTGCAGAGGGCATTGCAAGTAGTCTTCATATCCTTTAGCAAACTGACTAACATTGTCCAACTGAGGCTGGGTCTGAAGAAATAATTAAAACAAACATTCATCAATATCATCATTATACCATGAAGGGTCTGTTTGAATCACCAGGAGTTTTCCAGGCTATAAAAAAGAAAAATCCATAACCTACAGTGTAAGTGAAACAGTTAGCATGTTTCAAAACACCGCCACATCCAAAGTCACAGGAGGCAGTGTGGCTGAGTGATCAGCGCGTCGGACTCACAATCCGGCAGTCCCAGGTTCGAGTCCCGCTCTGGCGAGTTACTGGATTTGCTCTTGGTGGTCCCAAGTTCAAATCCTTGGCCACACTAGCTTGTAAATAGCCAACTGATTGCCTCCTACCAGTTGAGGTTTTTAATCCCTTTGTGTTATGTTGTATTTGAATTACTTGTTTCTAAGTGTTTGACTGGAGTGCCTGTAAACTAGCTGCTGGATAAGCTAAGTGCACTTTCCACTATAAACAAGCCTTTAAACCTTTTAAATCTTTATGTCACATGGGTGTCCAAACCTCTATTCCCTACTCCCACTCCTTAATTATTGGCTTCCCCCCTTTAACCCTCTTTTGATTGCCAAATACTAAACACTGTTGCATAATTTCTGTCTATTTCTCCCAATTCTCACCCTTTAAGCACTCCCACCTCCCACCCTTACCTTTCCTGCCTCCCGTAACCCTCTCCCCCCTATTCTATCTTGTGGCTTGAATCTCTTCAGCAACCACCTCCTGTAAGCAGTGAACACCAGATCTACACATTTTTTTAAACTATAACAAGTAGTTTTATTGACCAAACAATGGAGACAAAAAAAAGAAAAAGAAAAATTACCTGAGATAAACAATTAACTACAACATAGATCTTCACACTTTGGGTGGCCACTGAAGGGAGTTTCAACTTAATGTCAACTTTTAAGTCTCGTTTTGTTATCAAAAACCAGTTAATAGTTATCACATACCTGGTAAAGATGGGCAAGGTATTGGTAGTAGAATCCCAGTCCCTACAATGTAAACGGTGGAAGAGAAACCTTGGTTAACTATATTTATTTCGTTCATAAAGTGAATGAATGAATGATGGCTCTTGTGTTTGGTGACAATATTATTTTTTTTAATAAACTTTATTAACAACTTAACAAACAGCACAATAATTCATTACATGTTCATATTGAAGTGATAACAAAAATACAAAAAGTAAAGAAACATAATTAAACAAGCTTAAAACTGAACTACCGGTATGTTAAAAATTTTTTAGCGAAAGAACAGAGCACAATGAAGAGGCATTTCTCTTGCTTATTTATGGCCTGAATTCTATTTGGGTATCTGAGATTGATGGGAAATCTTTATTGTGTTAGGTGACAATAAAGATTTTGAACCATGATGGCAACCTGGAAAGAATGCTAACGAAGATAATGTACACTTTATGGATTTATAATTACTTACTAAGTCAAAGTGGTTTAATATTTTGGTTAATTTTCTTTTTAAAGGCAGCTGTAACTAATGGTATTGAGTTGTTGTACATTCTTACCTTGTCCTTGTGTTTGTTGACACCAGTCAAAATCAACTGTGCATTCAACTGAAATATTAAAAGATGCATTGAGTGATTTCAAGCACTTTTCAAAATGGGACACAAAAATTAACTAAAACTAGAATGTAAAAGTTTCACAACAGAACTTCTCACCCTGAACAACCTTCTAACAAGTGCTTGATGAGCTCTTGATAAAACTGGAAAACCTAACAATCAGATAATGTTGAGCAAAGATTAATACAGTCAAACTTTAAATAATAAAGAAGCCACTGCCCTGACTGGTAGTCATTTAATGCAAGTGCATGTGCGCTCATGGCAGGTTTTAACTGCAATTCTTTGCCCAGGAATTTTGGACGGGTGGTTACTTTATCTTTAAGAGATGGCCACAGGCCACCAGTGTTCGTAACAGGATTCATACACTCAGGTCCACAGGACCCATAAAGAAGCTAAAAGGGCGCGGTCATGAGGGAGAAAAGCGGGTCACACTTTTTAGATACAGTTAACTCAATGTTTTCACAGGGCTGCATTTTACACTGTAGATAATGATGGGTGTTTCTAAAGAAGCCATAACCAATTAATTTTTGGCTTATACTACAAGGAAGTGTACATATGTGTGCACTGTACGTATGCTTATACCGTATGTTTTGTCATAGGTTTTTGTTCCTTCTCTGCGCCCTTGGGATCCCTTGGGATAATTATAGTGCGGCAGTTCCTAAAAAAGTGCAGCAATCCTGCAAAGCCGCGGTCTGGTAAGAACACAGTAGGACACTTATAATAATTATATAAAATTAATAAATATTTAAATGACAGGTGGCTATGTAAGGAGTGATTGCTCATATACGTGCAAAAAGCCTTATTACATTTGCATTATGGGCCCTCTTCTTACCCTGATGAACTTTAAATAAAAGAGTCAATTCTTTGTACCTTTCTTGTTTGTTAGAAATAAACTTGTGGGAAGGATTGCTGCTTTAACTGGTTCTCCATACCATCTTTCTAACTCTTCCTCTGAAGGCAACTCAGCAGAAATCTCCAAAGCTTAGAGGTAGAGAGTGTAAACATTATAATATTTCGTCATAAATTTCAGTCAAACAAGTACAGAGAACTCTTACTGTGTAATCATTATTATTAATAATTATATGCTGTAAATTTTAATATATCATAATAATCTTTAACTTAATAGTAATAAGTAATACTTTATTATCATTGTTATTATTATTACTATTATTATTATTATTATTATTATTATTATTATAAAAACATACTTTATTAAACTTTTCTCAAATTAAATACAAATTTAGTATTTAACTATCTCTGGTTTTCAACAGAGCAATTGTAAACAATTATCTATCATTATTATTATCATTATTATTATTATTATTATTATTATTATTGTATGGATGATGTGGATTGACTTACACAAAATCATTCATGCTGTGGGCTTAATGGTAAAAGAGTAAAAATAATATTATTGTATAGCCAAAAAATCTACCACATGAACCAGCCAAAAACTCACAACCTCTGGCAGTTGTAGTATGCAGTCCATAATAGGGCATTTGGAAAGTGTATTACTAAAGAGAAACTGTCAGACATATATATGTAGTAGTCACAGTAAACTGTAGAATCTACATGCTTTAATAATAGACCTTTCCTGCATTACACTCCAGTGAACAAACATAAAGAAATGAGGATGAGGCTCAGGTGGACAATTTCATACAAATCACCGTATTTTTTCCACCTGAGCCTCAAGTTGGTGCCTTTGTCTACAGGAATGCGGGAAAGGTCTATATCCTTGTATGGACTCAAGAACTTACCCAAACCAACTTTTCTACTGTTTGCACAAATAGTTCTAAACAAATTCCACCTACAAATTATTAAAAAAGACAGTCAAAATGATCTTCTTCAATGTTCAGTAAAAACCAGTTCGAAAAAAATGGTCACCAGCATCAGGGCCAAACAGTAATTAAACCTGTATAGCTGGTTTTCAGCTGAGGTCATGGTGTTCACACTTTTGGACAAAAACAAAACCAATAATCCTTCACTGGGAACTGAACCCTTTTTTTATCATGGAAATTCTGCAAAAAAAAATTACTGTTTTGTCCACCAGTATGGCTGCCTTGTTGCGTGATTAAAACCATCACTGCTTGTACTTGTTTATAGACTAAATAGGAAAGAACATCATTATTTAAAGGTCAACAAAATTATCTACTTAGTGATGGCTGATAGTGGCATCTTCATACAGTCTGTATGAAAATTAATACTATCCCGATCAGTAAGTACTGTATAAATATACTTAAGAATAACCAAAAAATTAAGAGAAATCCTATTATGCAAATTTGAAAATGCCACTTAAAACTCAAAAACTCATTAATAAACCTTACCATTCCCAAGGATCTTTGTCAAACTTGGTCATTGCTACTTCTTCCTGAAAAAATTAATTATTTACTACAAATAAAGATCACTGAGGTGAAACAGAACATACCACTAGTATTCTCTAAAAAACAGTACAACGTTAATTTTATGCCTCTCAAAAAAATCTAGAACAATGAAGCTAAAACTCAAACCCTAACCTTCTGTTAGGAAAAACTATTTCCTGATCCAAAAGATACAATTTTACCCACAGGTTAAAATAAATTTTGTACAGGTTTTTAAAAACATTGCACCAGCAAAAAGGCAATGTTAGAGAGGTCAAATTTGATTTCAGGTTAAAATTTTTTAACCTACAATCCAGTACAAAAGTCCTTGGACAGTACCGCAATATTCATATTTTTCTGTCATTTCTCGGTCCCCTCTTAAAACAGTGCATCCTTTTCAAAATTTTCTTGAATTTCTCCCTCCCCCCACCCTATACAAAGTTGAAACTCGGAAAAAATTATGGATACACGCGTCCAAGACCGTCTAACATTGTTTGTGGGGTGAGGGGAGGGGTTGGATCTGTGTGGATTGGACAACACCCCAGAAATGCAAAAGTGTCCCAAGAATTTTGTCCATGATTGTAGGTTGATTCTTAATTTCCTTTGTCTTCTAGGACTAGGAGACATTAGAAATTGAGAATCAACCTAGGTTAAATGAAAATTAACTAGAAATCAAATTTGACTTGTAACACAAACGTGGGAAAATAACTGAAATACAGTCAAACCCTGTTGATCAGACACTGATGGCACCATAGAAACTGTCTGTAATAATGAGGTGTCCTTATTAAGTGGGTGGGGTTCAACTTAACAACCACAAGGTGACAGATACATCACCAAGTTCCTTCAACATGCATTACAGTGTATGTGATGTTAAACAGTTATTTAAAGTTACCTGGTCTACAAACAGATGTCTTTCACATTCATCCTCTGGACTCCTCATAGGAACATGGATCCAAACCTGCATAAAAAAAAAACTTTGTTATAACTTCCTACCAAAGAAAGTGCACCTGATCATTATTTTCATATTTTAAAAAAATATTTGAATTATGTGCCCCTGTTGTTCTAGCATTCTGTTCAGGGGGAGAAGAAATACTCCAAGATGCTTCATATAAACCCTTTCATCCCCAATATTCACATACAAATTCTCCAAACTAGTCTCTATACATTTCCTTAAAGAATAAGTTACGAGAATTTGACAAAAGATCAAAGTATTTCCACTTGGTGATCAGTTTATTAATACTCATAACCTAATCTCTTAATAGGGTATGAATATCATTAGGAGAAAATTGCTGTCGGTCAATATTGGGACTTAAAGGGTTAAAAATGCTGTAGTCACAGCATTCACCTGAGCACAATATTGCATTTATGTCCAGCAATGCATGGAATGGCGAAATTGGTGATGAATCCGGTAAAAAATCACCAGAGGGTTGACAAAAAATTTAAGGGAGACTTAGCGCTATGCAGTCTTTGTAAAGTGGTGTAGTTGATGAAAATGGTGAATAGGACAATGTATCCCAAGTTTGAGCAGTTAGAGCCCAAAGACAGGGCTAAAACCATTCTAGATAATAATAATTATTTCCAAATACCAGTTGATCAGGGTTACGTTGTTCGTCCGTCATAGTCAATGATGACCAAGAACATAACGTTGGAAAGGGATTAGGTGCTGTGTTTCCAGCTGTGGCTGATCGACCCAATATGGGCGAGGAAGGCTCTGCCACATTCTGGACACTTGTACAGCTGTAAGTTTCTTGAGCAGGTGTCAAGGAGATCACTTTGGATTTGTGCAGCTCACGCTTCCTCTGAGCCCCTACTATCCTGTTTTGCTTCTAGAGGACAGTGCCTTTGTTGACTTTGCTACACCAGGCAGGCCAGTCTAGGGCCATGGTCTCCCAGGCTTCAACATCTATGTCAAAGCTTTTCAGCAACGCTTTGAGACAGGGTTATAAGACCAGGATGTCAAACTGAACTAACCTGTTGTACATGCGTGTCAGTTATACTTGTGTTGATGTGATGTGCAAGGTTTGTGCACTTATAACTCTTCAGAGGAACAAGAACAGCAGGAAGACTCAAGTGAACTGAATAACATAGTTCCTGATGCAATCCCTGCAGAAAGAAAAATATATCAAAATCACATTTCATGAAGCAATGCAGCGTGTAGTTTAGTTTGTTATCTTAAAGGCTGGTTTTACTAATGACAGAGTTGAAGTGGGAGCCATAATCAGAAATGCAGAGTATATATAGCAAGTACAGATTTAGCAAGTACAAGTATAGATTTAGCAAGAACAGAGTTCAGGTTCTGTTTTTCACTACATTGATTACAATCTATCGTACAGTATTAATAACAAGCAGAAGCAAAAGAACTTAACTAATCACAGCGGATGGGATTGGGAATGAACACTATAATTGTGAATGGTTTGTATTCATTCATTTTAAATTCCACAGCTGGCAGTTCTGACTAACATCTGGATTACACCAAATCATAAATGACTACTTTATTTCATGAGCAGAACTGGAAAAAAGAAAATGTTCCGATCCTTAGTTAAGTCCAAGACTCTACTTACAGCTCTGACTTTTGAGTTTCCCTAAATTATGTACTCCTATACCAGATGACATACAAGTAGAGCCTCAATTATCCAGATGCAAGCTGTATGTCTTACATGTCTCAATCTATAGTCTTTAGTGGATGCAAAACTACTCTACACCAACAAAACTAATCCCTTTATAGGGCAACTTACTAGTTCTGAATTCTTTCGCACAATCTCATTGGAAGAATCCAAGTCAAGCCATGGTGAAATTTTGCCAACAATCAGGCTATTCCAATCTACAGGTCAATAAAAGGTATTTCAGTTCAGTTTAGATGTCGCAAAGTGACATACAGCAAATGGGAAAAGGCCTGGTTTCCTTACTCTGATACAGCAGTAACTTCACTTAAGAAAAGTAAAAATTCCCAGTTGATAAGATACAACACTGACAAAAACTTAAACTCGGACATATTTCCAGCTGTTGCTAGTCTCTGCTGAAAGTTACTTTTGGGCAGGGACAAGAGACATCCTCAATACAGCTGCTGTGCATGTGTCTCTTTTTTGACAAAGCCAAAAGGCCTGAAAATTTGCCAAGATTATAACATTTAACTAGCACTTTCCATTGATAGATGACTTGCCCTACATGTACAGTGTATATCAAAATTTAATACAAAATGAGAGGAGGTCCACTGCAATCTTATCACCTTGACTAGGAAGCACCAAGTCAGAACGGGTGAATGCTCCTGTTCTGTTTGGAACTGGATCTAAGAATTCTCTGCGGTATCTTGGATGGCAGATAGGAACACAGATAAAATCAAACCTGAAATGGAGATGGGACAAATTTTAGTGTCCTGCATTATTGTTTTAATTTGAAGAATGGGAGCAATCCTCATAGAGAAATTGCTGAGGCCAAAGAACATTATACAAAAGCTAAGCCGTTTCCATAGCTTGATAACTAATGGAGGGCACAAAAATAGACACATGGACATAACTTGTCTCAAAGAATATTAACTGACTATTAATAAAAAAAATACAAACCAGAGGCATGAGTTTTTTGAAGCAAAATATTTTGATGATATTTCAACCTCTTCCTCATCATTATTGAGTGGATCCACTGCTGCATTTCACATGTATTAATAGGGAACTTAAGCAAAGACGTTTTTGAGCGACGCACGTCGACCGGAAGTGAGGTCTTCTCCCTTCTCATATGCCTTGACGCTAACAAATTTGTATTGCTGAGTTTCTCTTCTCTTATAAAGACGATTTACCCAAGATTTTCAACAGAACCACTGCCCAATGATGCAAAAAGTCCACTTCCGGTTGACGTCCGTCGCTCAAAAACACTGTTGCTTAAGCTCCCTAATTATAAAGGGTTGACACAGGTGGTATCCATGTCCAGGTCCCCATCCTTGTTCAATATTAACATTTACTGGTTCTCAAATTTATACTGCCCAAATCTGAAGTTTTGGAGTTTCGTATTCTTACAAATTTGGACCGTCCCACAGTCTACCATATAATTCCGAAAATAAGCCCCTCCATGTATAAGCCCCTCCAAATATGAGCCCCCCAAACTGGTAATGCAAAAAACCTTCCATTTAATCGCCCGTTCAAATATAAGTCCCCCGGGAGTTTTTACTAGGAAAATTACCCTCAAATACAAAGTAAGACAAAGCAAAAACGGTAAATTTACCTTCCACTATAAGGCCAGCCCAATCGATTTTGAAACGCAAATTTCCTTCTGTAGATAAGCCCCTCCAAAACTAAGCCCCTTAAAAAGGGCCTTTGAAAAATATAAGCCCCGGGGCTTATTTTCGGAATTTTACGGTATGTGATCATAACTCATGTTAACTCACTAAATGTCGGAACTAGCCGCTTTTGCATACTTGACATCTCTTAATGAAGAATTTCCCTGTGACTCATTGTTTAGCTCACCGCCTGGGGACTTCCCATTTGGAAGAATGGGCTAAAATATAAGCCAGTCACGTAATGACAATTATGTTTTTAAAAATGTGATCTAGTAGCTTTCTTTTGGGATAATTCCAGTATGAAAGTCTTGCACGCGCACATGTGATAATTCAACCTCCATATCAAACCTAAACACTACTGGCTGTAAGAGATCTCTATATATTATTTTCAAAGAAACAATTCTAGCAGAAGAAGTAGCTTATAAACTCCATACCCTCCGTTCGTAGCGTTCCTTAAGGCTCCAGCAAGGTCAGGAACACAGAAAAAATCTCTCCCGCACGACACGCGTTGATCTGCCATTTTGAAAGTCCTTCCGCTTTGAAGCCAGGCCTCTTTAATTAAATTGAGTGGCTACAAAGCGAATTAAACAATCAAAATGGCGGCAAGATCGCCATTTCTTGCATTGCAAAACGTTTTGGAGAGTCGCGTTTTCAGTAAATCTTCAAGAACTTTCAGCACTGGAAATCAATTGGGAAATGAGAAAGGTACTCCGATAGAAAAAAGGCTGTTGGAAATTTTGGTCTGTCCCTTATCAAAAAAGCCACTAAGGTAAGGGAGAAAATCCTGAGTTCAAAACTATTTAGGGCCATCCTATTTAATATACACCCCCGCCCCCCGCCCCTTTGACGAAGGACTTTGAAATTTCCCTAACCGTCAGAAAATTCCCTCCATGAGTCTATTAGCCTTAAGAAATTTTTGCTTTTCTGCTTCTTACCCTCAGAAAATCTGGCCTCAAATCTTACAACCTTTAGAAATTTGGGTGTCTTGAAAACAAAGACCGGTAAGACCCCCCACTGAATGACTCTGAACTTTATTGATTGGGGTTAGGAAACTGAGTGAATCAGGTCCCATTTAAGTTATTATACTGGACAAACTGACCTGAAAGTTGATTAACTCAGTTTCCTAACCCTAAACATTAACAATAAAGTATACCTGCCAACTCTCACGCCTTAGGCGTGAGTCTCATGCCTGCGGGTTGAAAACTTCGATCTCACGCCGGCTCACGCCTGTGGGCCAATTTCTCACGCCTGATTGAAAAATGTGAGTTGTTGCCGTCCTGCTTGACACAATTTCCAAAAATATGTTAACTCAGACCCATGTAAGGAACGAAAACCATGTGTAAAATGAATAAATGGCAATACCTTCCTCGCGATCTCTGATTTTTGAAGTGAAAAGCACTGGGAGCGAGCTCGCCTTTGGCGCCTTTATCACTTTCCCGTCGGGCAAGTTAAAAACAGAATTCACTAGCCCGATAGTAAAATCCACTAGCCCCGGGCTATCGGACACTACTTTCTTTGCACGCTGATATGTGTTAATTTTAATTATGAATTTCTAATTTGAATGTCAGATATGAGAGTGCAACAAATGAACTGATTTCAGATGAAATTAGTGTGGCATTTCCAATAGTGAATGGCATTCCAAATCTTATTCCCCATGATGGACGGCTTTTAAAGAAGGATGGCCCAACTTCAAGTAAAAGTGAATCAGACAAAGACTAGAATCATGCGATTCTTTCAGAGAGCTAGATTAGTCCCAGACAGTCATTGGCTGGAGACACTAATATCACTCAAAAATAGAGGCTCCCTTCTCAAGTGGAAATGGTGCTGTTAGCAACTTGTGAAAATCTCCGAAAAGTGACAGGAGCAGGAAATAATTTTACAGGCAAGACTTAATCCCTTAAACAATAACAAGAAAGTGAACTTCTTATTTGAAAATATCTATGTTTACTACTAATAATAACAGTTGTACAATAGTCATGTGCTGTGAGTAGAAATAATGTTTATGAATTGCTGTAATGATAATAATTCGAGTTGTGAATTTAGGTATATTAAATAAGGACTTCAAGTTACAACATTTGTACAACGTTTGACTTTTATTGAATAGAAAAGATTGTAAATAGGTGCTCGGTGTGTGCGATGTTTGTAGTAGGAACTAGTTAGAAATTGTTGTAAACATATAATCAGGGACCGCGGAGGGGGAGGGGCTGGTAGGGCCGCGGCCCCACCACTTTTTTGCGCCCCTGCCCCTACTTTTTGCACTAAAAAGAAAAAAAATTAAAATAAAAAAAAGACTTGAAACAAGTATTTTCCCGTCTATATTCCGCTATATTCTCTGCATTTTCTTGAATTTCAAAGGCCAGGCATTTTGTGGGACTCCTGTGCTTTAATTTTCGTGGTAATTGTGCCCTGGGGCTTACTTGCCCCTTGGTCAAACACCATGCCTTGGCCCCCCTTTGCTTCGTTCGGCAGTGTGTTTTGTACTTCCAGCTCCGGCAGAGTTTTTTATCAGTTTTATCAGACGAAATGAAGAAAATTACTAGCTTTTTCAAGCCAAACGAAGGTGAGTAGTTGTTTTGAGTTGATAAAAGTTTTATATTTTGTCTTTCTCTTTTCGAATCAATGAAATATTCGAGGGCAAGAAGAATTACATTACTTGAACAGTGAACGGCCATAGTTAGAAATTTTTCAGATCACTTCAGTGTAGTATTTTCTATACTAACATTGTAATCGCGTCTTTTCTTGCAATGAATCTTTATTCCTTTTTTCGATTTTCAATATGAAAAAATTATTTTCAATTGTCAGCCCTCCCACTTTTCACCTTGCTCCGTGGTCCCTGATAATGAATCCCCAGCTCTTGAAATGGAAAAATTGAAGTTTTAATTCTTGACGGTTTGTCTTGAAATCTTTTTTAGAAAAAAAAAAGTGCTCAAAAATTAGGGTGCGTATTATACACGGGCGCGCATTATACAAAGGTTAAACATGGTACCTTTTTTGTCAAAAGTGGCATATAAAAGGATAAGGGGTTGGACCTTGGGGCAGAGCCTACCCATATAAGACTATTTATTTATGTTTTTTGACTTACTAGTAAAAATTATGGAATTTTATATAATAATGATAATAATAATGCAATCCAATGAAATATCATAAGTGCAGTTTTTTTTATTGGGAAGAAAAATGTTGATTTTCAACAAGTCACTTTACAACTTAATATTAAAATATAGATATGCATGTATTGTACCAAACAATACACTTTTTGATAATCATTGAGACAGAAGTCTCATCTTTACCCCGTGGGTTTAAAGTTTGGTGCTCAGTAAGAGTAAATAAATACTCATGTTTTATCAATTTTAAAACTAGTTCTTGGTAACTGTCAATATGCAAGATTATCTTATGATGCTGATACAAAATTAATATTTTTAACTTTAAGTCATCAAAATGTTGTTCTTGTCTTTGCTTTACAGCTTATGAAAATATTATTACTGTCATTTATTGCACTGGTATTTATTAAAAAAATTTGTCTGGTAATAGCATGGAATGCCTCAACAAAGAACAATCTCATGCATACAGATGTTTATAGAAGTGAAAACTAGAACCGTGAACCATTATTTTTCCTTTACTGTTCAAACTCTCTTCTTTAACAGACACCCCTATAAGACGGACACCTTTGTAAAACGGACACCTGTCCCTGCCTTTCTTTACTTACTTTTTTTGACTCACTACAAGATGGACATCTCTCTAAGACAGACACTCATTGCCTGTCCCAGAGGTGTCCATTTTAGAGACAGTTGACTAGTATATAAGTGTTATCCAATATTCAGTACAGGTGTGGCATTAACGTATCTCCTAGAGTCAGATTTACCAATGAAACATGATATGTTCCCACTCAAACGTTTCCTGAAACTACAATAAGTGAAAAAAGTTATATTTTCAGTGCTGCCAAAAAACATCATTCAATTCTCTGCTGAGTAGTCTACTCCGCATTTCAAAGTCTGCAAAAAAAAATCTATTGGTATCAACATAGCCTGTGAAAACCAACAAACGGTATTTCCAGCTGTCCAGGTCAGAGGGAGAAAAACAATAGCTATAAAGAGGTCTGTGTTTGAAGGCTAGTATCCAACGTTTGCTTTAATAAATTCTACACTTATTCTACATACATGCAATTTATACCGACACTTTTTTTTTACTGTTAAAAGGGGATCCCCTGCATGATTTTTGTGATGCATTAGTGATTTTTTCTATCTCTAGTGAAATGTGATTTAAGCTTTTTATTATTTGGTAATTATTTAGGAATCCTGTCTTACAAAATAGTTTTTTGTTGAATGAGACAGGTGAATGGAGATTGGATTTAACAGGATTCATCGATGAATTTGTATTGTTTATTTATATATTTAGCATGAATGGCCTTGGGTCTGTGAAAGAAGTTTGGTTACTGACTGTGAAATGTGTCAGGTGCAGTGTTCTTACCAGAGCGCGGCATTGTGGCATTGCCTCACTTTTTCGGGAAATGCAGCACTATTATATTATTAGCCCAACTTGGGGCCCCAAGGGTGTAAAGACGGGAAAAAACCCTATTACAAAACATACGTAAGCATACATAAATGTACGTATATTTCCTTATGATAATATAAAGATATCTATGATCTCAGAAAGTATGAAGCATTTACTCTAACTCAGAGCTACAAAACATTGAGTCAACTACATGAAAAACTGGATTTTAATAATATTTATTACCTAAGAAAGTACGAGGTATTTACTCTAACTCAGACCTATGTAAACATTGAGTTAACTATATCTAAAAATTGTGTGACCCGCTTTTTCTCCCTCGTAACCCCCTTTTAGCTTCTTTATGGGTCCTGTGGACCCCAGTGTAGAAAATCCTGGTAAGAACACTGCGAGTGAACAGGGTAAATAAACCATGGGGTAACAGGGGAGCCCCTTATAAGTTTACACCTCCTGTATACTTCCACCCCCTAGAATTGTATCTAAATGTGCTATGTAATTAATAGCATATTTCAGTATTTTGATTTTGGGGAGTTTAGTGTCACACTGATATCCTGGGATTAACTGCCTCAAATCCTGGTATGCGTTATTCAACTGGGCAACTCTTCGGCGCTCATGTTCATTTGCTAGCAGTCTGTTTAGTTTTGACCTCTGTCGACCTTTCATTTGGAATTCTTCCCCATCCTGCTTCCAGTCATCTTCCTCTTCTGGACTAACAAAGTCAGAACTGTAAACTCTTGGCCGAGTTGTTGCAACCCTTGTGTTATAATGCTTTACAATGCCATCTTTGCCAGCTCGTTTTGATTTTGAATGCTGTGGCTTTCTTGCCACCTTACGAGGTAAAGTTTGCTGGACATTCACTGGCATTGTCTCATGTTTTTCCTGGCTGTTAACTTCACTATTACAGAGCTCTTTCTTGTCAGTACCTGCATTCTTTGGCTGAGAGATTTCTCTTTTAATCTTTTTACGAGATGCCAATGCGCTTTCTGTCTCATAATCGTTTCTTTTCTTGACCTCAGTGATCTTTAATTGAGTTGTTTCCTGTAATGTAGAAATTTTCCCACTGTCATACTTGACTTTGGTATCCGAAACATTTGTGACTGACATCTTTATTTTCTTCGCAGGATTCTCATCCATTGTTCCTTCCATGTCTTCTTTGTAAGTACTTTTATTGATTGACATTTTCTCCTTTGGTAAAACTTTGAGGTCAGTATCTGAGCTTACAACTCTTTCGATGTCCTTGTCTACAAGGCCTATGGGTCTCTTTTCTACTCTCTGCCTAACTTCTTTTTCATTGAATTCCTCTCCTTTTAATGTTGCCGGCAAAGACTTTGGATAAAATGGTTCACGCTTTGGAAAGTAAATTATATGACAGGCACAGTCATGGTTTGTGCCACTGCAACGTCGTGGCAATGCAAGATGTTGGGTGACGTCAGGCAGGGTTTTAGGTGCTGAAGAAAGACAGCTCAAACATCCAGTATTCTGTTCAAGTTTTCTATGAAAGCAGTCACAACAGCAATGTTTCACACACGTATGGCTTGGTGCCAGATTGACGAAACTGTCAATCATGTGATGTCCTAGTAATCCTGCTGTATAGTGAAAACAGGAAGTGTTTGAATGATTCCAAACTGCGTGATTTCTTTCCAATAAATTCAAATGTGATGATGGATGAAAACCCACATGCTGGTTGGAGGGTACAGCTGTTTGTTGTTCAACCTCATGGTTCAATCTATCCTTTTTGATGCCATCTTTAATTTCTGAAAAAAGGCAAAGAACAGGTTGAATTAAACATCTTTGACTTTTAATATTGATGAAACACTGGGTATATAATTTACCCCCAGGGGGCAGGGGTCACTCCCTTATCAATATCTGGCCAAAACAATTATGTGCCGTCAAACAGATTGAGGCTCTCGAGCCTTAAACAGGGCATACAATCTCAATATTTAGTGCCTTGAACAGGGTATCTTCCTCGAACTGAAGCTTTCAGTACGGTGCAAACCTTGATGGTACAGTCAGGGTCTTCATATGTGGTCGGTGATGCGTTTATAATTAAAAAAAACTCATTAAACCCAAACCGGAGAAACAATGGAGAACTTCTTAAACAGAGTGTTATGTTTGGGCCTCAAAAAAAGATCTCGTCTTAAACATGGTAACAGGGTATGGCCTGTACGATTGATTTGACTTGTTTGATGAAATTTATGTGCACTCCAAGTACACAAAAGCTATGACAGAGTGAATTTGCCCTATTGCAATTGCCAATAAATGGCTTTAAAACAAGACAGCTTGCATTTTGTCCTTTGTCCTAAACAGGGTTTATATTTTAGGACTTTTTTTGTCCTAAACAAGGTCAGGGTTTTAAACCCTCAGTAACTCGCCTATACCCAAATATTGGTCAAGTAATTCCCCCCCGCCCCGGGAACGCCACGCTGGTGGTGGAACGAAAGTGAGTGACTTGATTTGTCACGCAATAAGCGTGACAACATGTGTGACAAGTGGGCTCTGCCTGCGGAAGTGAGTGGTCAATTGTTCCTTTTTTAGTGTTTGTACATTCTGAGCAGGTGGGAGTCCTAAGCAATAGAATATTTCATCAACCGAAAAAATAGATAAACCACTTCTTTAATACCCTGGGAGCAGGGTTTCCTTCTAATGTCTCTAATATGTAGGAAGATTGAAAGAGAATCTGATCGAAGGGTACTGTATTTTTAAAAAACGCGCGACGGATCCTCGACATCTTTTCTTTTATTGCGCTTTTAATTTCCTGGGAAACAATAACACGGGCTGTTAATGCAGCGGAAAGTGCAGAACAGAATTTTAATCTATCGCTGTCGGTGGATGAGTGCATGTAAAAGTGAACTGAGGAAAAACAACATTTGCTTCTTTATGAGCGGTCGGAAATGGCGGCGGTTTTGCATATGCAAAACGCGTTAAATAAAAACCCTTTATTACAAAGTAATTAATGTGAAAAGAAAATCTTCATTTATATGAAAAATTTAGTACGATGACCTGAGGCTGGGAACTCAAAAGTACAACTTTACAGAGGGCTGATATTGCATGGGCTTTTTTAATTACGAGTCGTAAAATGCGAAATTTCGTTTATTAAACTTGATCTTGCTCCGAGGGAGATTATTGTAATAACGTTGCCCCCTTTTTTTCTTTACAGGTGATCAAACGAAACTTTCAAACCATTTTTCAACTTTTTCTATGTTCAGTGCAGATCTAGGCGAGAATGTTTTTTTCCCTAAGTGTTTACCGTCGAAACCGTGGCTTTTAAATTGAGATACTCGATAACACACACATAACTTAATCTTATTGAAAAACAGCAGGAAATGCCAGATGCAAAAATGTAGAAAATACATGTAAACCATCTGGAAGAAGAAGCTAACTATTGTTTTGTTTTTCCTCATTTTCTCCTTTCATATTGCAGTGGTTTGAGTTTCAGAACTCAATTGTTTTGGGATAAAAAGACTTGTAATACAATGGCCCATCAAGCGGCTTAATTCACTAAAACTGAAACCATTTCTGCGCGGTAAAAACGCCCATTTTCTTCTAAAAGGCGCATATCAAAGATCCACCTGAAGCCCAGCTGTTTTCGTTTGCATGCGTTATCAAAAATAAGCATTCTTGGAATATCTAGTTTTGGCTAACGGCGATCTTTTTAAAAGCCACAGACAACATACAGGCCCAAAAAAATCGATTTTCCATATGCTATTTTCCATTTTTCTCGTATTGCACAAAACGCTTTCCCCGGGCAAACAATCTACAAATTAGAGCTTAACGAAAACGACGCGACAAATGGTTTCTCTGGGGCACAGTTGTTTCCACGTTGCTTTCCAGACTTGAATTACAATTTTTTAGCTGACTTTTCACCAGAGGTGAATAAGAAATTTAATAAGTGATGATATCTTCCGACCTTTTCCGAGTGTTTGGAACAAATGTTTCATTTTATGACTGATAAGGCGTTCTGAAAAAGCCACCGTCGATTTCCAAATTGCTTCGACAGAAAACAAACGCAGGAAAAAAGCTTTATACGAGCGCTTAAAATGTTGTATTGTTATCAGCAACGTATTGAACATCTGTTTCGACATAAAGAATACATCTTCAACAGCTAAAAAAAATTATTTATCTTTCATTTAAATTTGTTCTCGTAAAAGCCTTTTGTCAGTCTATCTAAAGAGTTCCCTGTTTCAAAATCAAAATTGTCATGATTTATCATTCACCTGATTTTTTTCTTTATTATACAGAACGTCAATGAAAGCTTTTTACGATTGAAAAGTGAAAAGTTTTGAAATGAAAAATGAATCCTTTCTAATGAAAGAAAAAACTAAAATTAACATAGCAAATAAAATATTGTCACTTTTGCGTGTGTCCAGGCGTCGAATTCGATTTTTTGACGATACCCCCTTTATTCTTGAAAGGAAAATTTGCCTTTATTCGGATTACCAACATCATTAACAAGCCCGCTTTAGATCTTCCTTTTAAATGTATATTAACATATTTCAAAGAAGAAGTACATTTTTTGAGCATTTAATTTTCTCCCGCCTTTTTTCTAGAAAGTTTCATTTATCCAGCGTGAAATAAACAAATCTCGGAATAATGTACACAATGATATCACAATGATCCTAGGCTATCGTCGGAGGATTTTATTTTTCCAGTTTTCCCCAAGGATTATCATTCAAAATAGCTCCTGATACAAATCATCTTAGAGAGACGTTCGTAAGGTTCTCGTCTTTATTCTTAGGGCTAATGCTCTCAAGATTTTCCTCCGCTTTGATTAAAATTCATAACTTTTCGTTTTTATTAGTAAAGATAGAGGGCATTTCAAGACCTGAACGCAGCAGGCCTTCCGGGCTTCATTTAACGTTTCCCGCGCTGTCTTATCATAATTTAGTTGTCTTGAAATTTCACTCCAAGCTTAAGCAAATTTAGCCCCCCTTTTCTTATGCCAGATTCCAAAGTTTTGCTTTCCCGCTTTTTACATTATTTTTTTCTCTTTTTTTTACGCGTGGTTGTTTGTATTTTTATTGCTGAATTCAATCCCCTCGGAACAGCTGTGACATTAGGCTTCACATGTTTACAGAACCGTTTTAATTTATGGCGAAAATTCATAGGACAACATTTCCATTGGTTTTTGTGTTCAAGTTGCCTGGTATCGACCTTAAACAGCAATCGAAAACGAGGAGAAATTTACACATCCCGGAAAAAAGTGGAATTTCATCCACTGGTAATCCCCTTGTCAAAGCTGTGAAAATTCAAACAGAAAATCGCCACCCGGGCCAGCAAGTTTGCAAAACATCTGCCGTCAGCATCCCAGGTGTGTGTATACTAAAATTACTGTTACTTGCAAAAGTGCTAATAAGAAAAAGACTCTGAAGATTTCTAAACGCTAAAAAGCCCGCTTAAAACCAAGAAAACCAGATTAAACTCTTTTCCCCATGGAGGCGCAGATGAATGAAATTGTACAATTTCTCTCTCGTCGCTGAAAAATCTCAACGGGTTAATGTACGTCTGTGATATGATTTTGCAAATGTAAGTTGAATAATGAATCGGTAAGCAGTTCGAATAAACTTGAATTAATTAAAGCAATATTCTTCTTAACATAAACGCAGATCATTTTCCAATTTTCCCAGCGGCTCGACCAGTGATGTGGAATAGAGAGTTCTGTCTCTGCGTGTTGACATCTGAAATCAACCGTACCCAGGCAGTGAAGAGGAACCGCGAGTGAATATGACCGATCGATCGTTCGGTACACGTGCGAATTTTAAGTAAAGAATCAAGTTCACCTCTAACTTACCGGAATCGGAAACAGATTTTGTATCTTCGCTCTTTCGCCTCTTCACAAGAAAAGAACGAGGCATGATCGCAAGAAGAAGAGGAAGAAACTTACGACCGGCCGTCACAGCTTGCTTGGATCACAGTCAGACGATAGGCTTTAAAGATCAACTATAAATAAACCCCTCAGCCTCACTTTGACACATGTTTTCAACAATTTCCGGTTTAATGAACTCGCAGATTTTCCGAAAAAAATGCCCAAACGAAAGTAACTATTTTCCAAAAAAATCCTTCTTTAAAAAAAAAAACGAACTGCTTTACACTGGTTAATATTTTTCCATATTCAAAATAGCAACTACAACAATATTTATTTAACCGGAACCGGAAGTTGATTTATGTTTTTTCATCCAGTGGGATCAGTGAACTGCATCTGCATCTACAATTGGACAGAATAAACCCTCATCTAGCCCGCGAACAGCAGACGTACTTCCGGTCGTCGCTTCTCTCGACCGGAAATAGGTCTGCTGTTCGCGGGCTAACCCTCATCCCTCCTAAATCAATGATGAAGCCGTGCGAAAGCCAAAATGCGCCACATTCCCATCCTTGAATTGGTGGGAGCGGGAGGTATAAATTTCCCATCTATTTTGTGCAAGATTGTAGGTACAGAGGACAATCATTTTTACCTTTCCATTGCTGGACATTAGCACATAGGCTATGAAGCCATCTTCATTGTAGACTGCAAAACAGTCGATTTTTTTCTCAAAATCAGTAAAGAAATCGGTAAAGCGTGGCGTAAGAGTCTTACGAGCACGAGGCGCGCACACCCGTAGGGCGTGCGAGGAGAGAGAAAAAAACCGACGGTCTGTTTTTCCTTTAGCGTCTCTCCCCAGTCTCGCTCTCTGTTTTCAGCCTCGTTCCAGACCTTTTGTTTGACTGCTCGCGCGTACTTGAATACGCAAAAATACGGACTGTTTTGCAGTCTATCTTCATTGCTATTACAGTACATATTTTCGACTTTCTTATCTTTACTTGAAGGGCTAATTTGATATAGGTACGTTATAGTCGGTATAGTGGAAGTGTTACGATTGGTTTGGACATCCATGATTGTGGCAAGGAACGTTGACAAAGTAACTTGTAGTTTGCCTCACGATGCGTTGTTACTTTTGATATAAATCGCAAGATTTCGGCTGCTATCTGATAGTCATTTTCACGACAAAGTGGACTGAACGTAAGTTTTCGTTCAATGAACAGCTATGACTAGTGGTTCATTAGTCAGGCGCGGATCCACACCGGTTTCCACCGTTTTACGGAAATCGGTCAGATTTTTCTTAAATACATATATTTTTAATAAATAAAGAACTTTCCAAGTTGCAAGGCTTTATCCAAGGTGAATGGAACTGGCCAATATCCTATCTGAGTGACTCGGAACCCCGAAAAAGGAGACTTTAGAAAGTTAAAATCGAAAACATTTACCGGGGGAGCATGCCCCTGGACCTCCAAGAAGCTTGCGGTTTCGGCGCTCGTTGAGGAAATCGGTCACCATTTATCCTAGATCCGCGCCTGTTAGTGGACGAGATGTTTTATTCTTCAGAGTTTGTTGCCGGCTTTGTTTGCTCCCTGCAACCCTGCGAGTAGAGATAGCCTGCGAGCAACGGGGGTGGGAGAGGAAAGAGGCTACCTTTTCGTCATAAATATTAGCCTGTTACGTTCCAGGCTCCACGATAGTCGGGTCCGCACAAACATGAAAATACAAAGGAGAGGAGAGGCGTACGCACGTAAAAAACACGCGACAGTGGAAATCCACCCTGATACTTCAATAACTTGTGCGTAAATAACGTCCGCGCGCACTTTCCAAGAAAATTTAATTGTCTAAATTATCGAACGGGAATGAACGGCTGCAGACAGAGGCTTCTTTCCTCTCGCTACGCCCATATTTATGTAGCCTGTTCCAGGCTCTCAGATAGTGGGGAAGACGCAAAAGTGAAAGGTACGTGCTTTCTCAATCCCTGCGGGCCCGACTATCTCGGAGCCTGGAAGAGGATAACCAACATCTTGAAATAAGAAGGAAAGCGTCCTTGGCTCTCAAACAGCACTGAGCAAAACCAAGAGCCATATTATGGCTCTTGGCAAAACGTATAATGAGATTACGAAATTAATTAGTTAATACAGACATTGTCTTGTCTTGTCTACAGAAATTGCAGCCCCCCGCCGCCCCCCACCCCCCGGTTAACTTTTTGTTCCGAGTATAAGGCTTACAGTCTAAGCAAAATAAGCAAAATCTCTGGCAATTTGAGTGAAATAGACGTTCTGTTTTTTCCCTTCTGTTGTTGTTTCTCAGGCTCTTCACAGATTTCGTACTTTATTAATAACCAATCAGAGGTACTAACAAGATCTGGGCAGTACCGGGTCATCAGTATGAAATTGCGCTCGTTGATGTGCCGGCAGGTTCTCCAAATCCTGACCCTATTTCAGACCAAATAATGTCATTTTTCACACCCGTTTTCAGACCTGTCATCTAAGTAATTATATCATCATTACTTATTAAATTAGGACAGCAAAAAAAGATTTCTTAAATTCCAACACTCCCGTAATTCCCTCGATACCCATTCCCGATTCCAGACCAAAATGGGCAAAGTCTATACCCGTTTTTAGACCAAAACAGCGGAAAAGCCCCACCCTTTGGGGCGGCACGTACCTATATGACTTAAGGGAGTATCCCCTCGTACCCGCCCCCCCCCCCGGGGAACCAGTGGTGGCTGTAAGCACCTATAGGAAGTTTTCGCATGACGTCACGTCCGCCACATGGTGTTCCAGAACAATATGAAACAGCGGCCATGTTGGTGTTCCAAACCAACCCTGTGAGTTGACTCTTTTTCTAAAATAAAAGCTTTCTTTTGTTCCAGCAAATTTGCGTATCTGCTAACCACGTGAGTGAAAACTATTAAAGGCGGGAAATTTTGCTCGAAACTAAACTTAGTAACTTAGGCACAGCTGTTGCTTTTGTTTGAACAAAATTTTTTCCATGTGAAAAGAAACCATCGTTCGCGATTCTGATTAACGGACGCGCTATTTTTCTCACTCGTGAAAAAGAAAAAACTTTCGCTCCTCCGATAGGCTAGAACTCATTTGCTATGAAAGTTTACGCTTCCGTCATTGCTTTTCAGTTAACAAATCTCAGTATGAATTTCATAAAACCAGTTTTAGACCGCTTTTGCAGATGTATCAGCAGGATCTGGAGTAAGTGCAAGATATATCTACTATCCTTCTAATAGTTGATTTTATTGTTCAATTCACTTTACAAATTAATTTACAGGAATTCTACATCGTTACGCATAGCAAAGATTTACAAGTTGAATTACCCTATCCGCACATGTGGCAGACCGAAATCCATTGTAACAACAATAAATGATAAAGAAAAAAATAAATAACTAAGGCTTAAAATGAACTGGACGACGCAATAATCTTAGTTTCGTAGGCTAGACGTTGTTTCGTTTGGTGTCCTGCGCTTGTCAAATTCATTTCCAGTTTGGTTGGTTATCCTGTTCTCTCACGTGGTATCGCCTTGCTTTCATTCTCACCGCATCATCTTCAGCCATTCCAAGGCGATCACTTGCGTAGTCAGATTTCTTGCTAGACATCTTGTAACCACCTACAGAGAAACGAGTACATTAAGGCTATGTTCAAACGATACCGGATAACTTTTACGCCGGCACGAAAACGGCCTCTCTTCACACAGAAGAACGGTGATTTCGGCGCGCGACCTCTACTAAGTACGGACTAACTGGAGAGTCACATACCGGATAGTGGTTCATACCATGAACATAGCCTCAGACACGGGGCAGGGCCGGGGCACCCAACGACTGTTTTCTGTAAAATATCTGTTTGGAGAAACAAATATTACCTAGAATGTTCTATTGCTTGAATAGGGCAAAAAATTTTTAGATTAGCGTTCCATTCAGGTACAATTTTCGAAGCTTGTCTCAAAAATTCCGCACGGTTTTCTGAAGTTTAATTTTTCATATTGTACTCCTTATGTTAGGCTAATTTTCTTGGAAAAAGGAAACCTAAAATTTTCGAATTCAAGGGTGTGATGGAGAGAGGAACAAGAAAAATTCTCACTTTCGTAACACGTTTAATTGCATCTAAAATTTTCGGGAAAATAACACTGAAGCCCTCGTAATTTCGAAGAGACTCAAGTTTCCCTAGGATGACCGAAAACGTACAAATTTTATAGCGCCGCTTAGAATGCATTTCTAGAAGAGATCTTTAAGTACTCTGAATAGCCTAAAATGACTTTTCAATACATTAAGGAGGAAACCGTCGTTGGGTGCCCCTGACACGGGTTGTTTACCATTTAGAACAAACTCCTGGAAATTCCGGGTGAGATGTAAATGGTAAACGGCTCGTCCCACTGGAAAATTCCTAGTTTGCGTATTATGGCGGTTTTGTCGAGCCGGGCGCACAAGAGGCGAAGCCGCGGGTCGCAAAATTCGCCGCGAAGCGCGCGGGAACGAGCGGCGAAGCTGCGTGAAAAAGTTGCTCCCGCCCCCAATCTCCTCGCGGTTTCTCTGCTCTCGCCCGCCTTTATTACTTAGCGCGCCCAACAATAAGCAGGCTAGAAAATTCCCGGGACAAACCGAAATTCTGAAAAGGTAGTCCCATTTTCCCGGTTGCCTGGGACGTTCCAAATGGAAATTCGTTTACCATTTACAAGTTTCTTGAGTTTCGTTCTAGTTACATGTTGTAACTAGAATCCAGTCTAGCGCGTAGCGACAATCCGGAAATTTTAGGCAAACGGTAAACGACACGGACCGTTCTTACCGATCGAAAATTTCCAACTAAAATTTCCGGAATTTTGTTATAAATGGTAAACAACCACGGTGACATGTTGCGTTGAACATGTTTCTGCCTTTATTGTGGCGACAAGTTTCAACACTCATTTGAAAACAATTGTCGCTTGCAGTGGTGCACCGAGACGGCGGAAACACTAAAGAAGTCAACACAAACCTAGCCTGAATTTCAGACGATTACTGCGAGTCGTTATTACTCCCTCAGTAACTGAGATGGAGAGAAAATGACTCGAAGCAATCGGATGAAATTCAGGCTAACAGAAGCTAACAGTTAATTTTTTTGCGCAATATTGCAGTTACTAGTCTCCTTCGCAGACGTTGCGTGACGAGTGACAACCCTAATAACGGCTGCGAAGGAGACTATGCGGTCACATGATGGCCTACGTTGCAAGCGTTTCCGCACCAACAAGTCAGGGGCTAAACTATCTGAGATCATTTACGGAAGGTTTTCTCTATGTCGCTAATGAGTGAAGTATCTCCAGCTATTAATACGGTTAAATCTGTAAACATTTTTATACATCTTAGCCGCGGACATACCAAACTGAGTCATTTTAGGATATTATCTTGGCGGGAAAAAGTTTTAACTTTTCGGTTTTGGGGTAGGTTCACATTATACCGGATATCCAGTAGACATTTTTAGTGTACTGGCAAGCCAAGATCGCTCTACTTTTCAGAAATCAATCAGTACAGATGAACATCCCCCAAGTCGGATAATACCAGAGCGAAAAGAAACGAAATGCAAGTGAAGTAAGGTATGGTTCCTTTTGGCAAAAATAAACACACAGCGCTTTAAGACAACTTTTGTAAATGGGAAAAACTAACTCCGGGGCGCAGTATTGGGGTGTTCGGCGGACACGATTCTATGGTTCAGCATGTTGTTTAAGCGTCACGGAAAATCCCAGGATATTTCACATGAGCATACGTTATGTGCAAACGTTTTCCACCAAATTTGAAAAATGACGGACAAAGAAGAGGAGTAAAGACCAATTTGCAAATAACCTCACTAACCGATAGCAATCAATGTTAAAACAGAAAATAAGCGCAATTCAGAAAAAATTCAACAAAAACTGACTGATTTAGAATATTCAATGTTGCGGTTATTGCCATCAATGCTGTTGTTGTGGTTGTTGCTCTTGGTGAAACGAGTGACAGTGTCGATGGCGTGACTGCTCGGGCAATTCCTCTGAGGCAGTCTAATTTTTTTAGGTGTAGCTAGAAAGACAGAAAATAACCGCTGACTTACAAAAAAGATGGCTGTGATAAGATCTGCAGGTAAACAAGCAGATTGTTACTGTAGAGGTTGATTCCCACTGACGCGTTTTTGGCTTCGCACGTTAACGCACGTAAATTTTCATCACGTAAATAATGTAGAGGTAAGTTAAAAAATGCTGAGCTTAAACGAAAATTTCAGCAAGGATCAACCTTTAGGCTTACGAGCAACCTTTCATGTATTGTCTCTGTTTTATTTGCGAATGTAAAATGTTACGCACGTGAGCACGTAAAATTAGGCGACACTAGAAATCAACCCTAACCGTCATCTGTTGCAAAATGTTATGTGCAAAGTTGGCAGTGCATAGTACAATAAGCTTCTCCAGACGCTCTTTGCAAGACTATTTCTCAAATCATCCAAGCTCCCGCGCCCCACCCCTCAAAATTCAAATGGTCCGCCCGTGGTGGAAAAAGGCAGATTTCTGTTTGCAAACAAATCTTTATTCCATTTAGCTATTATAGCAAAAAATCGATGGGATATTTCCAAGTTTGTCCACTTTTATCAGGTAACCCTGCGTTAAACAAGGCCATATCATTCGACAGATCCCATATCGGTCAACCTCGGAGTAAAACTAGAACGAATTGCGGTAAAATAAAGAAACTTTTTTTGCTGTCCAGTGAAGCATCTCGCTTTGCAACCACCACTTGGTATGGGAGCTAAGTTCTTGAGCGATAACTTGGTAGTTACTCTCCCTTCTCGAACGTAAATACAATAAACAGATGATATCGGACTGTGCGAAAATCGCGTGTATTTATTTCTAGTTTTTCTGGCGTCCGAAAAAACGCTTTTGTTTTGCGAAAAAGAACTATTATGAGAGGGAAATCTGCCATCTTTTATTTAAAACAGCTTGGATTTTCAAGTTGGCGCCTCTAGCAAGAAGAGTATAGACAAAAAGAGAAAAGTGTATTACAGAATTGATAATAAGCATCTTGGCATTTTCAACAAATTGAGCCAGTTAAAATCGTGTCCACTGAATACCCCCATACTCCGCCCGGGAGTTAATTTTCGTCTGCCTGAGACAGTAAGCCACAAAAAGAGTTCGTGCATCTCCCGTCTCGCGCCTTCAGTCACGCGCGTGGTCATTTTCGTGTCTCGCGCGGCCCAAGAAGAAAGAGAGACTACTCGTAGTCTAGCCAGGTGAACTAAATCCTAGTCCTCGCTCCTGAATCTAGCGGATTCCATTCCTCGTTCCTACTTGTTCAATTACCTGTTTACAGTGTACAAAAGTGTAGCACAGAGCCTATCCAATATGCAATGATTCGAACGACGATACAAAGCTTTGCTCCGTTACAGAAATCGCGCGTGAACAGAAATGAGCCCTATATCCGGTATTGTTTTCGTGCCGGGGGTGTCCGGTGTACTGTGAACATAGCCTCAGTTTTATCGTCACCAATTCAATCCCATTTCAGACAATTTTTTTTCTTTTTTCTTTTCAATTAAAAAGACAAAATTACGCATTCACTCCAAACCTGACTACTCTAAGGGCGCTTTCTATTTGTCACAACTGACCGGCTAGACCATTCCCGTCATTACGAGAATTTTACTTTTAATCAAAACTATCCAGCCAGATCAGTCAAATAGTACGCACGAAGGAGAATGGTTTTTCAGCAAAACTCTTGGAAAAAGTCGATTTCATTTGCTAACTGACTGATCGGGCAATGATCCGGCCGGCCAGTTCTGACAAATTGAAAGCGCTCTTCGATAAAAAGAGTTTTAGTTAAAGGCAGTTTACATTTCAACTTTTAAGAGAAAGTTAAACATGTTCCTTACGTTTTCCATTCTTTCTTTGTCCAACCTTTGCCGAATTAAACCATGCTTCAGATAAGGAGAACAAGACACTAGCCAAGCAAAACAGAAGAACCAAAGCCTTGAAATGATTCATCGTAGCTTTGTCACAATAAACACGTCGTTCGCAGTAAATTTACACAAGTGATCTAAGAAGCAAATGAGGTTCTTCTTAAGCGTATTGTGCAGGAACGAATTGAGAATTAACATCTGTGCTTTGCTGATAACTCTATGTACTTAGTTCCTGCTTCGGGGAAGCTAGACATGAGGGCTTCTTCAAACCGTTTGCGATAGTACAAAAGATAACTGGTCATTTATGATGGTTAATTTGGCTACCTTGAACTGCCGGTTATAAGCCGATCCCCCATACCACCCCCGTCCCCCCTCCTCACTCCCAGATAGCTGTAAACAAAAACATTATAAATTAGTCCGATTTTTATCGTTCCGGATACAATCCTTCCTCTAACTTGTACTGAAATGAATTCGACTTATTATGAAGTTTTGAAGATTAATTTAAAGCCAGTAATGCAAAACCTACTTAAATCTACACTGCTATAGCCTGTTTCGAAGCGCTTTTTCTATTCCTGTTACTGAAGCTCCCTTCCGATATAAGCCCCTCCGTTTATAAGCCCTTCTAAAACCCCTTACGAAGATGGATAAGCCCACAGCTTATAAGCGGAAGCTTACAGCATTATTCATTAGCACAACGGGCAACAGGGGCTTGCTTCTAAAGCGGGCGGTGTATTACAAGGTGATTAATACGGGGCCCGAACGGTAGGAGCAACACAAACAGTGGCTCAAATGTAGCAATTTCACAGGAGCGATCGATAGGCTGAAAATGTGGCGACCAGGGGCCGAAGGTTTTTCAACCCAATAGAAAATCAGGTTTGTTAAAGAACAAAGTCATTTTACTTAATTATTTTATTTCTTTCGACAGGCAGGAACGCAAGTTTTTCAGCCAATAACCATGCGTGTTATTGTGTAACTTCTTCAATTGTGCAATAGTTTGAAGATCCCACTCAGTTTTCACAAAATTCCCTGATGCAAATTTTTTTGGAACAGACTGCAAGATAGTGAGGCAAATTGCGATATGCCCCTGTTTGTCGAGTCCTGCGTGATCAATCCCGCTGGTTTAAATTGGACGCCCCCACAGCACGAAAAATGGGTCATAATTGTTTAGACATTCTCTACGAGCGAGGTTGCGAACGCGTTCTTCTTCTTCTTTACTTCTTATACTTGCTTTGGAAAACATTCTCAAAATTGCTACATTAAAGGTTTTCTCATTAACCTTACTTCTACTTCAAATACAAAAACAGTTATAATAGTTAATCCTGTTGATCTTGTTTAATAAAAAGTAATTTAAAACATGACATTCGTGCACAGACTGAAATGTGCCAAGATCCTGCTCGAAATTTGTTGCATATTGTTTGCGCTTGTAACTACCCTTTTGTGTCCATTTTTTTACAGTAAATAGCAGAGCAGAATGTTAAAATCTACAATCTGAAAAGGTACTCAAAGGAAAAAATTACTGCTATTAGGCGCGTGTTTGTTAACCTTTTTAGTTTCTCGTTCCCTGGCAAAAGCTGGTGAAATTTTTGCAAATAAGTTCTTCTTACATGGATACCAGGTATAAGGAAAAATAACTAAAGAGACTAAGAGGAACTCCGAGACTCATAATTATAGACCTCTCTGTCCTAAGTTGACAGTTTTCATAATGCGCGGTCTTCAGATCAAATATTACATCACAAAACCACAATGTTTCCTCGCCATTTCCACAGCGCTAAAATGCATGTGTGAGCACTTTTAGGCCTTTTTACGGGCCGAAATAACGGATTTCCCTACCTTGTCTTATACTTCAACTCGTGAAATCCCAACCCTTTTATATACGAGAAGCCCAGAAATAAATGTACCCCGTATACGCTCTTTTTTTTTATAAGAATGTTGTTTTTCCGGCCCAGGCTGAATATTCTTATTTTTCTGCCGATTTTAGGCTGAAAATATTCTTGTATTATTCTTAAATTATAGCTTATGACATTTCCGTTTTAGAATTTATTGGGGTATATGTATATGTACTACATGTACCGTTCATCGAACTGTCATTAACGTTGAACATTTTGCCATAGCTAGTGCAGGTTTTTACGTCTTGTTGGCTAGTTTCGCCGTTCAGAGAAAGGAATAATTTTATACGGTTAAGTTAAAAACATAAAATTGTATTGTATTTACAGATGTTTCAACACACAAAATTATATCTATCCTTTTCAAAATCTCAGCCTCAGCTTTATTCTTAAAATATTCTTAAAATTTCGCCAATTTCAGCCTCGATATTCTTATAAAATATATTCTTATAAAAAAAAAAAGAGTGTAGTTAAATATATGGAGTACCCCCCCCCCCCTCTCTTTTCCCAGTTGGCGGTAGTTAAATAATTGTCTATCAATATCGAATGTCTGACTGCTTGTTTGGGTGTTCAAAACAATATGATACCACCCACAGACCTCAGTCACCCTTAGAGCTTATCACCTCCAGAAAATATATTGCGGGCATGATGATAAATTGGCCCTCATTTCCTGTAGATACAGATGTGTTTTACTTTCCAAATCAGCCGCAAGAAACTTTTCCCTTCACGCTGCTAGCCTGTCAAAATGCCGTGAAGGGAACTGTTTTAATTCCACCTGCATTGCCTAACGTTAACATGGTCGATGCAGTTTCTGATGTTTCCAAGAGACCATAAAAGACGTATAAAGGGGTTAGCCTGCAAGCATCACCCGAGAGCCGCACGCGAAAGTACAAGCGAGTGCTTCGCCGCTCGCTCGTGCGTTTTCTCGCTGCTAGCCTCGCAGGCTATGAAGGGGTCTGTTTTTTTTGCTGTTTCCCAGTGCCTCGTCGGCAAAATGATCCTGGCAATAATTCGCGTTATTTTTTTTCGAACAAGGTGATTATTACTTGACATGACGGAGCCAAATTATGGATGGCTGCTTTTGACACTGATTTCCAGACTGGAGATTCGTAAAAAGGAGAGTGGTAGAACGCAAGCAGTCGACCTTTCTTTCCTCAGAGCCACGCGCGGTGGCCGAAGAGAGAGCGCAAAAGTAAAATTTTGCAAATTTCTCCAGGCCGGACGCTCTGCAAGGCTCTCAAACAGAGCAATGTTCAAAATCATTCTTATTTTGATTCCGTGATAAACTTTATCTTCCTCTACGGAATCAAGTAACTGATACGTCACTTGCCTTCTTCCTTTGATAACCCAAAACGAATTAACACACGATAACCTCTCAAATCAACATATTCATCGTATTCCAAAACAGAAGTTGTACTTCCGTGTGCGTAACAGGGAGTTTTTAACGACGACGGTGACGTCATCGAGAACGGCAAAAAAAAGCAATAGGCTTAGATTAGCAAAACAACAACTCTGCACGTGCATCACGCTTTTTTGTACATTTCTTTCCCGTCACTGCACGACTACGACGTGTAAATGTCTCCTTTATTTCACGGTTGTGGAGTACGTGAACACAAGACAACAACATTCTTTTTTTCTTTTCATATACAGTCCTTTAGAATTCATCTTCAAAAGACTTTGCCAGCATTTGACGAATTAAACGAGACGGAATAAGCGCGATAAATTTGGAGGCAGCACGAATTTACTGAATTGACGTTTTTGTAGCCGTGGCCGTCGTTTTTTTTGTAAGCTCCCTTTTCTTAGGGTGGCCCCGTGTCATTTCTCAACAAGACGGTTTAAAATGTAAAAAAACCCTCGGTCACGGCGCGTAGGATTTTAAATATTAAGTCGTTTATATGAAAATGATGAGTGATCATGAGAGACAGTGTTTATCAAACATCATTGCGAGAAGGATTTACGGTCGTTTCGCCTACGGTGTGTTCGCCTACGACTAAAGTCGATTCGCCTACGTCTTTTATGTCAGTTCGCCTACGTCTTTAAACACGTCTTACAACAGTTGATTCATTTACTTTATGTGCGATCGCGCTCATATGCTAGTCAGTCGATTTAATTCCTAAACTGTGATTTTGTGCGCTGAATCAACCAACTCAATATTAACCGCCACTTTGGAGTTACGTTGCCTTCATACTCATAAAATCAAGCGTATAGAAGCGAAATAATTGTAAATTACGAGCGTTCGTTTACGTGAAATTAAAATCACCGTTTTAATTTGATTCATCTTCATTCGAGTAAACACAAGTTTGCTCGAATCTATATATAGAATCTATATATAGATTTAGCAAGGCTAAAAGCGAAGCTCTCATTAACTAAATACTTATAAACAAAAAAAAATCGGGTTATGCTAAACGGCGCAGGCAGTGAGAACGGCAACAAAATCAATAGATCTAATTCTAAGCAAAAAAACAAATTAGCACGTGCAGCACACGTTTTTGTACTTTTCTTTGCCGTTGTTTTGCTCGACTACAATGCTGTTTTGCATGGCCAAAGGTGACACGAGAAGATCCGCAACGACGATTTTTAGTGCAACACAGCGTTGCAACATTGATGCGACATTGTTACGACATTGTTTCGAATAGTTACAACATTGTCCCAACATTGCAACGCTGTGTTGCGCTAAAAATTGTTTTTTCTCTCCGAAAGTCTGAGTAGCCATGCGATATCCCGCCAAAAACACCTCGAGTTGCCTGTGATATCACATCTGTTAATTGAGTTATTTTACATTGGTATGCCTGTGATGCAGACGGACGGTCGGACGGGCGTACGGTCACATGATTACCAAAAAAAAGGTTATCAAATTTTCTTAAGGTCATGTTACACGAGACGATTTGCAATAACGATTTTTAGCGCAACACAGCGTTGCAACATTGTTGTGACGTTGTTTCGAATGGTCACAACATTGCTCCAACATTTCAACGCTGTGTTGTGCTGAAAATCGGCGTTGCGAATCGCCCCGTGTAACATTAGCCTGTACACAGACGACCCCCTTACGCTGGCGGTCAATAAATCTCCCGCGGTTTTTGTTGTCTATCACGCTGGGGACTTTGGTCAATAAACAGCGTTTTTGAGCGACGGACGTCAACCGCGGGACTTTTTGCATCACTGGGGAATGATTTGGTTGAAACTCTCAAATCGTCTTTAAAAGAGGAAACTCAGCAATACAAGTTTGTTAGCGTCAAGGCATATATAAAGGGAGAAGGCCTCACTTCCGGTTGACGTGCGTGGCTCAAAAACGTCTTGCTTAAGGTCCCTAATAGAGGGTCTGTGACTCAGGCAGGAGCCGATTAATCGGTTCCTGACTCAGGCTAGTGTAACATCATCTTTAATAGATATGGGGCTCTGCTCGCGCGCGCTTTGCGCGCGTAGAGCTCCGCTATCAGTTTGAAAATGAGGTTTGAGCTGGGTAAGAGTTATTTGACATTCAAGCGAACGGACATGAAGGGAGTTTCTTATGGTCAAGAACGTTGAAGTAAAGACACAGGGTATCATTGCTAGGAACGAAGTACAAATTTCGCGCCCCGGAAAAAAGTTTTTGCGGAAAGAACAACCGAGAGGGACTGGAGGGAGTTGTAGGTCCCAAGCCTCTCACCATTACGAGCTTTGGCTGTCTAAGTCTGAAGCAAGAAACAGAAATATTTTACAGGGAAAAATAACAACGAGTGGCTTCCAAGAATCTGTATCCTGAATCATGAGATAACATGGACTCTTTGAGGTATTAAAATTTAGGGTGAATGATATCTTTTCGTGTTAAGAGGTTATAGTTACACTACAGGATGATTTATTACTGTGTATGCTTCAATCTTCTTGAGTTCAATACACCACAATTTAAGGCCATGTATGAGGTACTTTGCAATCATGCAACGATCTATTGGGTATAATTAAACTTAAATCTTCGAAGAACTACACTTATCACGTGCATATATGTACAGAAGCAGTAGATCAAGCGTAAATCTAGCCCGTCGTTGACGAAACCATCAGCTTCATCTGCATATCATAAGCTTTTTGAAGTCAAGTTTACACCGAAGCTCAAACGCCTGTACGTGGAGCTTTTCTTGTGGTTGTATGCTGTACTATACAGCATTTTCTTCATGTTATATAAAGCTTACAGATGTAAACTTAGGCTGTGATTGCAGGCGACCATGACCAGAGTAGCCTGCAATCCTAATCTCCAGGCCCCAGTTGTTCAAAAGTTGGCTGCGGATATAGCGCTATCCAGCGAATAAATCACAATCCAATGGAAGAGTGTTAGGGAAAGCAATTGCACTATCCACTGGATATTGATTTATCCGGTGGATGGGCTATCTATCCACCTTTTGAACAGCTGGGGCCTGTTCAATAATAATTATTGAACAGGCCCTAGCTTATTGTTATTCCACAGGTGTAGCACATTTAAAGCCAGTGTTTTTGGACAATCTCATTCCCACTACACTTTTAAGTTTCTGGTCGGCTTTCAGTAACAGGAGTAGATCACGCAAAATTCAGCTTTTATCAGTTTCAAAGCTTTTTGTTTTTTGTTGTCATAGTGATATACGATTTTACTAAAAACTGCATTTTGACAAGCTTCAGTTCATAGTCAATCACTGCTGAAAATTTCATAGCGATCAGACAGGGATAAAATCACTTTTAAGGCGAATGAAAAATATTGGTACAGTCTCCAAAAAACTGTACCGAAACACCTTTCCTTAAGTAATTACACTGACTGGCAGATAGCAATTGCTAATACATACCTTACAAAAATATGTGGCGAAATGTTTGCATGACAAACAAAAATTTGGCTTGGCCAGAGGGGTGACCTGGCTAGGCATGGTAGGGACCTGTCCCTCCCCTAAGCTAACATTAACACTTAATTCTCACTTTGGGAAAAGTGATGGGTAGGGGTAGGTGGGCAGTTTCCCAGAAACCTAACTGATCTGGTAGGGTCACCCTTCTAGCTGAGTCAACTTTTCTCCATATAAACATTTTGGCTCACCCAGTGGGGTCAACTTGGTCAAGATGAGACAATCAGAGCATGTGCGAGTATTGTTTTAGACAGTCAGAGCATGCATGAGCGCTGTTGGCACAGGCATTAAAGGGGTCAACTTTTTTCTCATATAAAATGTTTGCGAAAGTTGACTCAGCTGAGAGGGTGACCCTCTTTCCCAGGAAAACTTGTTTTTGATATAACTGGGACTCAGTTAGCATTTTACCGTTTCTTTCTTGACAGGAAAAGGGTTGGAAACTTTATTGCTGGTACAGACACAAGTCAGTCTCAATCAACTGATCAACAGTCTAAGCAGGGCAAACATACCCCTCTCCCTGTGGATCCCTACTACTATCCTGGACTGAGGTTTGCCTTTCACTTTGTCACTGTTGATGTCACTACTGTTGGACAAAGTAAGTACTAAATGGTTGGTTTTTATGCAACAAAGAAAGACCTCTTCATTGATAGATACATTATGATCAATGAAGATATGGAACTCTTTGAACAATGAATTAACACTAAGTAGAGATGTTTTAAGCTTCAAACGAAAGCTCTGAAGTAAGCTACTTTGCTCTGCATAGAACTTTATAAATGATGTTTCTTGTATTTTATGTCTGATCGTATATAGCAATTAATTTTTAGTTCTTAGATAATTTTACCAATCCACTTTTTATATAATTATTTACTGTACTCCATTTTGTTTGTATTTATTATACTTTTTGTAATTATCTTTAAAAAGCCTTGTTTAAGGAAAGATAATAAGGGATGTATGTATGTATTTAACTGTTTACTTGGTGAAATGTTTTAGATTCTAGTTCTTAGATTTCAGATTTTTTTCTTTTACTTTTTGGATGTCATTTAATTATATGGGGGTTACCCTCACAATATCACAATCAAGAGGTTTTTTTTTTCTTTTAAATAAAGTATTGTCATTTATAATTTGTTTGTTATCATTTTACATTGTGGGTCTTTCTTCATTGGGATAGGGCTATCGGGGGGTATAATTTCAGGTCTTAACAGTGACTGGGCTACATGTATTTTTTATTATTTTTACCTTAGAATTATATTGGTTATAGCTAATCCAAGGTAGGGTAAGGATTTTTGGTGCCCAGCCTAGAATTCTTATTTTATTCAATATGAATGTGGTCTTGTATGGGCTAAGGATTTTAAGGAGTGTCAGTGGCAGACGATAAAAAAATACTACCAACACATGCCCAGGTAGACTGTGAATTGATTTGAAAGATCTGTGAGACAGTTGTTGCCAAATGTTAACAACCTAGGTCGCATGGTTTTGTTTGTCAAACCAACAACTAAGGTGGCCAAGTCAAACAAAAGCATTCTCTGTCAACCCAAAATTACACATTTTTGCAACGTACCTGACAACAAAATCAACTGTCATACATGGCAATGAATTCACAGTCTACCTGTTTCGGTAGTGCTCAAATGTCTTACAGTACAAACCAATGTTTACTTGCCACTCACTGTCTAATTCATTTTCCCATATTTCTTATCAGTAATTTAACGTCTGCATTTTCTTTTGAAATTACATTATAACAGAGACTCGGTCTCTATCCTACTTGTTCGAGTCAATTATGAATCAAATCCTATTTTTCTGGATGTTATAGCTACTTTTGGCTTAGTATCTGGACAAACAAAAGTCTCCTCAGATGTAACAAGCAAGTATGGCAAACTCAGTGAACCATATCTGCAAGGCTTTGTTCTGGAAACATTCAAGGCAGTTCCAGGTGTTGGGAAGACTGGATGGAATGCAAGTGAGACACCATACCAAGGAATTTTTTCCAGGCCCCATGGGTATGGCATCAAAATTAAAAATGATGGCATCTGAAATGCAAAAGAAGCTCCCATTAGGGACCACCCAAAATGCAAAGATTTATTGGCCGCTTGTGGAAGGTGGTCCCTTTATGCAGGAATGGAGCAATAGGAAGAACACATACTGTAAAATTCCAAAAATAAGCCCCTCCATGTATAAGCCCTCCAAATATAGGCCCCCCCAATCCAGTGGTCCCTTTATGCAGGAATGGAGCAATAGGAAGAACACATACTGTAAAATTCCAAAAATAAGCCCCTTCAGGTATAAGCCCTCCAAATATAGGCCCCCCAATCCAGTAACACAAAAAACCCTCCGTTAAATCGCCCCTCAAAAAATAAGCCCCTCAAAAAGGGCCTTTGAAAGATATAAGCCCCTGGGCTAATTTTCGGAATTTTTATGGTATGCATTTTGGAAGAGAATTCAATACAAGTTATGATATGTGTAGTTAATGTTGTTTCTAACTAAAAGTTCTTCTCATACTCTGACTAGTGTATAGTTTCAGCAAACATACATGTAAGGAGATCAAAACGTGCCCTTATTGGTGACTTAATTACAGGAGGATAAAAACAATGGAAAATTCTAAAATTAAACCATTTTCCAAAAGGTGGTTGTGGTCATTTACGAGAGGAGGTCACACTCAGAGGTTCTACTTTAATATCAAGGCAAAGGATTGCCAAGGACTTGTAATGTTTATTTGAATGAGCAGGATTTTCAGTCCACAAATTTAAAAGTTAGAACTACATAATTAAATTTGTGTTGTCAGGGTGCAAAGAAAATCATTTTTATAGCTAATTGCCATTTGGGCAAGCTGAAGCTAGCATTTACTAGTGATCATCATTAGCTAGACCCAAAAGCTTTTTGACGATCAGAATTGATTTCACAGTTCTTCCTTTATTCGAATTGCTCAAAAGACATCACTTGCCCATTGGGCAAGTTAAAAACAGAATTCACTAGCCCGATAACAAAATCCACTAGCCCTGGGTTATCGGACACTACTTTCTTTGCATGCTGGTTGTCATCACGTAATTACTATTTCTCCAGGATGTACAGTTTATGCCAAGTTCTCTGATCTAGTTGCCAATGATTTTTTTAAAAAAATTCCTCTTGTTCAGAGCCCCTGTTTACCACTCTTGGCAGTTATTAGTGGTGAAGTCAAGCATCCAAACTGTAGAGCGAGCAGGGCTTTTGAATCTCTCTACTCGGAGCAATGAAGTTGCAAATCCGTCAGGGATTATTTCAGTGGTGAGTAGTGTTCAATCAGCCTCATTCCCAATAAGTACTGGCCCAAAATACAAGAACCTATTTTGCCAGATTTCAAAAAAGTAGGTTCTTATTATCGGGTGTTTACTGTATTACAATGACTCACTCTTTTAAACAATAAACAATCTAAAAAGTATTCACTAGTTCATTGGAAATGTGTAAACTTTATGAATTCTGTGCTGAATAAAGTATCTATTATATCTATCTATCTCTCTATCCATCTATCTATCTATCTATTATTATTATTAATTATGAAATTTATTTATTCATTTTCCTGCTAAGAATTCATTTTGCTAGAGGCAGCTTAAGGTTTAGTGCAAATTCTTTCTTTCTTCTTCTTGAGCAAAATTTTTCTAATTAAAAATTATGAATTTTTTTAAATTGAAATTAAGTGTTTTTTAATCAAAAGTAATTGTAATTAGTGCTTGGACTGAATAGTTCTTTTAGGTGAAATTAATTGTAAATAGGATTTTGTAGTTAGCTTTAATTGTTATCAATAAAAGATTGTTTTTATTTAAATTATTTTTTTTTTCCCTGCTAAGAATTCATTTTGCTACAGGCAACTTAAGATTTAGTGCAAATTCTTTAGCAACTATTTCATTAGATATGCTGTAACTATCTGAAGGTATAATACGAAGTTAAAGAAACACAAAGACTGTGATTTTTTTACATATTTTTGATTTGCAACTACTGTAAGTTAGTAATTTTATTGTCAACTTGGTAATAATAATATGAAAATAATATTTTAAAATGGGAAAGTTTTTCTAACTCTCTCATTCTGTTTTAATAAGCTAATTATTTCGCTGACTTATTTATTATAGATTGCTCAATATTGCAAGCAAGGTGGCCGTTTAGTGTGTGTGGAGCTATCTGGACAGAAACAAAGTGCTGGAATGCTAGCATCAATTGGTGGTAAAAGCGAAGGTAAAAACAGTGGCAATGCAGATTAGAACAAGTCATTATAAGTAATACGTCCATAGTCTTTGAATCATAAAATTTTAAAAATCTATGTGAAGACTTCACATAGAAGAAGAACATTTTGAGAAATTATATATAGTTACGCCTGATGCAGTTTGAGGTTCTTTTCACTTGTAAAATTACAGGTATTTATGTGACAAATAAAAAAATGTTTCATTTTCCTGAATGCCATGTTTATAAGATCTCCATGTAGCCTATGTTTTTTTCTGTTGCTTTTTTCTATTTGTATTATTTATAATCCACTTATAGTCAAACCTGAATTAATCAGACATCCTGGGATTCTTACAAATAGCTAGTGTCTATTTAGTGAAAGTCAATCCCATTCCTCTTAGAAATTGCTTCAAACATAAATTTTTTGTTGTCATTTAGGACCCCTTCCATGGGATGTATGATTCCAACCGATTTATTATTAATATTTATCAGAGTATAAGGTAATGGAAATTTTAGAGGTTTGTGTTAAAAAATTAAACTTTAGGGTTTGACACCTGTTAACTTCCGAGTCCAAAAAGAAAGTTAATTTTCTAAACCCCGCTATGGACGGGACACCTGTGTCCAATAAATGGGGTTGGACTCCCGGGACACCTCGTTATATACAGACAGTTCCCTTTGCCCCATTTCAGGGGAAAGAAAGCCCTCCACTTTTGTACATTTTTTCTAAAAATTCAACCCAAGCTGTAATATGGAACGGAGTATAAAAATTGGCCCATTTCTAACGGGTATCAGTGTCCATATAAAAAATGGGGTTGGACTGTTGGGGAAAATCTTTCAGCCCAGTCATCCCAGAAGTATGAATGGAGGGGGATGGATGACAATGTCTTGTTCATAATTTTCAGTATATGGCTGTGATGTGTTCTTTAACATGCCACGTCATCCAAACCCCACACTGTACACATACCAGCTTGTGAATGTTCCTGTTCAAGTCATGTACCTTGGACCAGGAAAACTTGTCAAGGTCACCTGTGATTGGATGGGACACTTTGCGCAACATCTGCGGCAGGGATGGAAATTGACAGATATCTTTTGGGATCAAGGAAAAAGGAGTCATGGAGGTGAATGCTCTCCCTTTTTGACTTTCTTTTAGTTTCCAGCATTGCATTAATATTATTATTTTATTAAAATAAAAACACTATACCACTGCTCACCCAAACAAAACCCAAAGAAAATCATTTTTACAGCTGCCATTCGGGCAAGCTGAAGCTAGCATTTACTAGCCCAGACGTCATTTCAACTAGCCCCAAAAACTTTTCGTCGAGCTTCATCTTCTGTTTTTCGAATTTAAAGATAATAATGATAAAATTTCACTAGCCCGATATCCACTATTACACTGCAAAATGATTCATTGTCACTGTCCTTAGAAAATAATAAAATTATTATTAAATTATTATAGGGGTTCACTGTCCTTAGATAATTTTGTGTCCTCAAAATAATTATATTCATTCTCCCCCCACCCTGGGGGGGGGGAGTTTATTACTTTGAACCATACCCACCTCCCCTATGAAAATTATTATTTGGGTTCATTCTTTCCTTTTCAAATGTTGGCCATTTTGTTCTGTCCAAAATTGCAGTCTAACACAAAATAGATGGAAATTTCTACCCCCCTTCCCCAAAGCTATTAAGCCTTAAAGCAATCTTATCTATCAGTCAGAGAGCCTAATTGAATGGAATGTCTGAGAAAAAATTCCTGGTGACAAATGTCATTGTCATTACCTTGTCAAAGAATCATACTTACAACTAAAAAGTATTGTGATCTTCATTAATTGTTTAAGTTAAGAATCTTCTAAATGGCAGCTCCTCTTAAAAAAAAAAAGTAATGGGACAATTGCACTTTGACGATATTTGACTACAACTACCAGAATTCATTTCGCTTTTGCTTTGTTATTTACTAGTAAATTTGTCAATCCCGCTTAGGATTAAAGAACAATAGCCTTAATTTGCACTAGAAAACAACAAACTCAAGGATTCTGGTAGTTGTAGTAAAAATGACGTAATCGTGCAATATTATTGTCCTATTATCTTGAATTCATTTTCTTCGTAGAATTTTCCTTGTCTGGTGATTACAATTCAGTGTGGTTTTTTGAGAAGGAATGTTCAAGAATGCATACACCAGTTTATGAAGGCACCATCATTGAATATCAGCATACTGTGAAGGTAAGTATTATTAATTTGAAAGAAAGGTGCCAGGCATATTATTAGGGACCTTAAGATACATTGTTTCTTCTTACGGGTACAGGTAGGTGTCACATGTTATATAAAGGGCATCCGTGATGTCCCAGATGTAATTTGTATAATGGCATCACCATTCTATCTGGAAGCCTAGCTGTTTCTCCGGGGTAATTAAAGAGGTAATCTACCCATATTTACGGCCATGGGTACAGTCAATGGTCTAAATCCACTTACAATCTCTGAATTTTTTTTAGTTTTGCTAATAACTTCAATCTGTAGCCATTGACAGTGTCTTGAAAGCCTATTCCCCTGCAGACAGATATGGGCCATAAATTGATTTTTATGATTTCGTAATATCTTTCAGATTGGATTTTTTGAGACAAAGGCCAAAGGTGACTGGACACCAATGATAACAGAGATGGGAAACAGAGGCTGGGAGCTGGCATGCATGTTAGAGACTCCAGAAATCACAAAAATAGGACTGGGCAATGTAACCTTTAAACTGTTGTTTTTCTTTCAAAGACGCATCATGCAAGGTCAGCCTTATGCAGGCTACCCCTCAGTACCTCCCCAAGGAATACCAGGAGGATATGGACCTCCTCCCCCTGGGGCACAGTATCCTATGGCAGGGCAAGCAGCAGGTTATTATGCTCCCCCGGGGCATGCTACTGCTGCACCCCCTCCTGGTGGGTATCCAAATTATGCCCCACCCCCATATAGTGATAGACCAGAGCCAAGTGCACCCCCGCTCCCTGAAAAACAATGAATTCTATGAATTCACGAGTAATCACACTGCACCAAAGGTAACCAAAGTGTACAAGCTTCACACATTACCATATCTCTCTCTATAATTTCATGGTTTTGATGTCATGGAAAAACTAACAGTTGGTCTTTAAAGGGGCTGTCCCGCTATTTGCTATGTTTTTAAAAAGCTACAGGATAACGTGTCTTCGCATCAATTGAATTTCAAAAATAATGGTCCAGTTTTGTTATTTCAGACTATATTTAAGCATTGAAACTGTTTCCTGTCATCCGTTGCAACAGATGGCAAAGTGGAAATGGATTGAAACTTTTTTTAACAAGTTTTCAATGCTAATGCTGTTGTTCCCTGATGAAGTTATTTTGTTTGGTATCTTCTTAACTTTACAGGAGCATTTCGTGTTTTGGTATTAAAAGGCACTAAACTTAATGACTTATAGTATAGAATCGACCTTAAAAAAAACAGGAATACAGTAAAATCCCACGAGTAAGAACCTAAGATTTAAGAACCTGTTAGGCTAAAATTTGCAATTTAGACCCCCTCTATATATTAAGAACCTCTTTTATAGCCTAAAATTTGGAGAAAGGTTCTGATTTTCAAAAGTCATTTAAAAATATTTACTAATTGCAATTGCAAAAGTGAAGTTAGTACATATATAAATGTTGTTTGATTGAGGTCATTGAGAAAATGTTTATAATATTGTGTTTTACAGCACAATCATGTATATAAAGTTGTTTTGACTCAAAGAAATTAAAATTCATGTGAGAACAGATCTCTATTATGGTCATATAAAATATAAGCAATAATTAGGTATGGAAATTTAAGGGTGCTGATCACCAAAATCTTCTTAGCAATGACATAATTTTTTTCAAGAAATTAAGAACCTATTAAGAACCCAATAGCCTAAATTTATGTTAACCACCATTTATGTAAGAACCTGTTTAGGCTAACCCTGGAAAATGTAGGTTCTTACTCATGGGTTTTTACTGTATCCTCGTGACATAGCCCCTTTAAACCCATTTCAGGATAGATATTTCCTATGAAGTGTAGAGCTCTACTTGATTGACCTAAGTTTATGGTAATGTCAGAGAAGTCCTGTCAATGAATATATTAACATTATTTGAATGATGCATCAACATTTTACTTTTACAAGTTTAGCCAATGCCACTAATGGTTATTTTTTTTATATATTATATATAATTTTGAGTATATAATGCTCTTTAAATATCATTGTTTGAATTCAATATTAATAGGTTTAGTTAATTGGCTTCTGGTACAAGCAATGATTTGGGGGGAGGGCTCCCTTATAAAAAAATTGATGATGTGAGCGCTTAATGGCTCTAAACCCTAAAATTACTATCGTTAGAGTTTCTAAAACCTTTGTCAAAACAGACCATTACTTATTGGGGCGGCTAGAAAAAAATTTCTGTTAAGTAAAAAAATTTCATGCGTTTAACTCTTAAAAATTTTCAGGTTTTCATACAAGGAATTTGATAACGGAAAAAATTCCTGCAGCTCAAAAATTCCCATCCCCACACCCCCCCTCACCCCCATAACTTTTCTATTGGTCCGTCCCTTAATTAGTTGTTTTAGAATGTTTGTACCTTTCCGGGATTCTGTTCCCTGTTGTTCAAAAGATCAGTTGCACTATCCACCGGATAAATCACTTTCCATTCCAGTGGATAAGTATTAGAGCAAAACTTATAATGTGTTACCCAGTAGATAGTGATTTACCCTGAGGGTAACCTGAGATCATGCCCTCTCCCTATTATCTCTTCCTGAGCAAAGCAATTACTGTCACTAGAACTGTATGAATTTGAGCCATGCCCACGCTAAAATACAACCAAGGTAACAACCTGGCGAGAGGTTAAAAGCAAACACACAAAGACAACCTTTCAAGGTTCGATTTTGAGTCTTCCCCCCCACTCCCACCCCCACCCTCGGGCGATGCATGTGTCTGCTTCTTATCCCATAAAAAGTTACCAGTTTTAGTTTATCAAAGAATGATTTGATCACTCTGAGAAGTAATTATTATTAGGAGAAACTGCATTTTTGTAACCTTTGGATCAATTTGACCTATACGTTACTGGGTTTATATTAATATTTTGCAATGCATTAGTATATATAGGTATAATGGCTGTTTGTAAAATTGTTATATTTTCAATCAGGCATTAGTATAAATATCACGAGTGGTATTTGTTTATACTACTACCCGGATTTTCACATGATTTTCAAATTAGTGAAATTTCTAAGCCAATCAAATTGCAGAAATTTCTCATGTAGTAGTATAAGTATGGGTAATAGCATGATTTGTAGTGATATTTGGCATAAATACCACGAGTGATATTTCAAAATTGTTATACGTAATGTCTCGAGCCGTTGGCCGTGTTAAATTTGAGACAAAAGTGGTATTTATGCCAAACATCTCGTACAAATCATGCTATTATTGTTTATACTACTACCCGCGAAGGTTTTGTAATTTTCACAAGTAGGTGTTTCAAATTAAGCTGAAATACCACTGCTCTAAGCCAATCAAATTGCAGAAATTTCTCATGTAGTAGTATAGAGATAAAAACCAAACAAAAATAGTAATTATTAGTTATATGATATATCAAAAAAACAATGAAGCTGGTAAATAAATACTTTTTTATTGCAGTGATTAAACTGTGCATAATTTTTATTTGGTGTCCTTATCCAGTACAGGTTTAATGA